CAGAACGGGCTGTATGCCAGACTGCAGACTTCAGCTTCACTCTGGCCAGCATAACCAAGTGATCTCAGTTCTTTCCAGAACACTGTAGTTAACACAGAGCAGAAAAAAGACACCTTCAGTTGTCATTCACAAGCTTTTTTTCTTTCTCACTACTCCAGCTTCTCACCCATTCTTTTCCTTAATTTCAATATAGACCTTTATTAATACAGCAGAAGACAACTACTGTATTAGTTAGAAATGTGCAATCTTAGAAGCAGTAAAATGAGCTGTGATTGCATCTTAGGGAATGGGAACATTGACTATAACCTCTTAAACTCTGGACTTCTGTCTTGTATGCATCTTCTTGCTTTCTTTTTTTCTTTAAAGTGGCCAATACGGATCCAACAAACTCAAAGAAAGTTATCACAAACCTTTGTTTAGAAATGTTTGTATGCGTGGAGGAATGTAAATACCATTGTCTATTTTATCATCAGTTGCTTTAACTGTGTGTTGCTGAATGATGACTTTCCTTGAACAAAGTTGCAACCTTACTTCCCTAAGGCTGAAACCTGGAAACTCACCTACAGTTACACTGCTGAAGTACACTGCTGTTTTTGTTGCATCTGCTGTTTATGGAATCATAGAATGGTTTGGGCTGCTACTAGACCAGGTTCATTGTAAGATGAACTATAATTTATTTAAACAAGTGATTAACTTTATTTTGCTTCCAAAATGATATATGAGAACTGTAATGTCTTTGTTCAAAGTCCATCTATACGTGTATATTTAATTTAATAGTAAGTCTTACTAAGCTTTGTTAATCATTTTATGTAAAAACTTTGCCTGCAAAATCAAATTTGGCCTGAATGAGCAGAAAAGCATCAGCAATGTGAATATTTGTTTAATCCATTTCAAATAATTTTTTAAAAATCAGTTTGTATTATGCTGTGTCTTAAAACATGGTCAAGTTAATGATTGTATATGCTTTTTATAATAGATATTATGGAAAAAGTATACTTTTATTTAATTGCTGATAGATATAGTATAACTTTATATAATTTTTACAAAACTAATATAATCAGATTGATATCAGATGCAGACTTTAATTATGCAGCTGAGCTGCTCTCTATTTACCCTGCCTCAGCAATGTGTCAGATTACGTGAAACAGTTGCTACTGATCAAATGAAATGGAATAGGGCCTTCTCATCTGTGTGCAGAGGCAAATTAATGAAAGTGTATATGCACTTAAGATTTGCACATACCTGTGTATTTAATGTATGTTAATTGTCTGAAACTTTTACCATGATGTAGAATCCTGGCTAGGAAAGAATAATGTCTATACTCCATCTATCCCCACAGTCAACATCAGTTTGCTATAGAAAACAACATTTTTATGCTTAAGAGTTAAGTTGTTACTTATCCTGTGTTAAAACATGCCTTGTATGATAAAAAGACAAAGGTGACCCTAATTCAAATCAGGCAGACTCTCAATGGAAAATATGAGTCATCCATTGTCCACATTCAAAAATAGAAGTAAAAAGAAATATTTATGAATTCTAGTTCCAATTTAGCTTTCAGTGTTTAAAAAAAGACATAAAAGAAAGAAATCTAATGCTGAAGCTGAGTAATAAAGCTGTAGAAATGTTTTATATTATGGCATCTGGTTATAAAAAAGACTTTTTATATACTTCTCTGAGATCCAAATGTGAAACCTGTAGTTTAGAGGGCAGCTGGCATGCAGGAATTCAATATATGAGCTTAATATTCCTGCTTGAGATTTTAACTGTTCTGACTTAGGAGGAATTACTGTTATACACCATACGGCCTTACAGGTCCTGTTAGAAATATCACCCATGTCTCTGATTTCAGAACAGAATAAGTCTGTGAGCCAAGGAAAGGAGGACTATTTATATAAAATTAACCGTCGGATTAAAGCATGTCAGGACTCATGGCAGTGTTCTAATCTCTATAAAATACAGTTACGTGGTACAAGATTTTCCTTCACAAAATAAATGTTATTCAGTTAAGAATTGCTGAGCCTTTTTCAAATTGTTCTTTCTTGCAATAAATTGCAAAAAGGTCCTTGGTACCAATGTATGTGTATCAATATAGGCTTCTTTTTTTTTTTCCTTCCGCAGTCGTATTTGTGCAATCTATAAAAATAAAATGGTGGAAAATTTTCTTTGTCTTTATGCAGAGATAGGTGACCATTCCTAGTACAAATAAATGGAGTTTGTGAGGCAGGGAAATCTTTCAGTTTTATTACAGTTCTTTTGGACTTTGTCTACAGTGTACTTCTTAAGGCTGTATGCTGACTAATCAGTTCAAAGCTTTATGTTTCAGCTAAATTTGTTTAATTTATTTTTTTCTACTGTTGATATTTATATTGGTTTCACCAGAATTCAGAATTTTTTGTTAAAAGGTTAAATAGAAAAAGAATGCTCATTACATCTTATACAACGTTTGGGACAAAATCCATTTTAAGCCCAAACACAGAAAATTATCGACATGACTTAAATTTCGATTCCAACAACTTCTTTTAAAGCCTAATGAAAGTAAGCAGAAAAAGCAAGATGTAGGTTTTTGTTTTATTTATGTTTTGATTTGAAGATTGTATAGTAGGAATCAGTGTTTTAACCATTAGCTATGCAAATAATGCTCACTCTTTCAAGTATCCCCATTTATGTCAATTTGTAAAAGTAAAATTTCTTCTCATGAGTACAGATTTGTTCTGGATCATTGCCCTCAGATTTTCCATGTGATTTTTTGCTTTTGGTTTTTTTTTTTTTTTTTGGCTAAAAATAAACTTAGATTATATTGTTCACCATAAAATTTTTGCCCTTGTAAACAAAAATATACGGGAAAGATATGCGATGAGATGACCTGGAATGGAATGTCAGGGGCAGAAGCATGTCACCACAGAAGAAGATATGCAAGGTCTGCAATTACAAGCCATGAAGGAAAAATGTCTTTGTTTCTGTACCATGGAATAACAACAAAATATTCTACGAAACTCTGGAGAAAAACAAAAGAATAGCTACTGTACTTAAAATTTGAACTTTTTGTGAATCCAAGATCATTTTCAACGTAAGTTAAACTCATGAATTGGGTTTTGACATTGGTAAATCAAGTTTTTAGCAATAGCAGTGCACATGACTGAATGCTATTGGAATAAAGAGCAATTTGAGATCACGCGCTAATGAGATTTAGCAGGGAAAATACTTTCCTGAGAAAGAAAAAACAGTTTGATAGGAGTGAATAGTTTGGTAACCTGGTGAAAAGTTAGTTGACAGCAGGTCACATGAAGGTAATTTGGCTTTGTGCTACTCCTGTGCCTCAACAGTAAGTCCTATATCTATATATATCATATAGACATATATATATGTCTATATGTCTTATCACCAGATACATTTTTTTTGCAATTAACTCTCACTTTTCTTCCCTTCTTCTACAAATATTTTTCTCCTCAAGCTGTACTCTCTTTCCTTCCATTCTTTCCCTTCTTCCTTCCAAAGAATTTTGGAGAAAACAATTTGCTGGGCTTCAGTAATAAATCTTTGGATCCCAGGTAACGTGATGGTAATGAGATCTGTATGGAGATGACAGTTTCCACAAGCATTGCCCCATTTTGACATGGTGGTTATGCTATCAATACAGCCTGCCTTATAGAGTTTTCAAGATTAGGTGTCTCCACACAGTGTGGGAACTTTTTGGAACAGACTTTTTACCTCTGAACCGAACTGTGAAATTAAGTGTAAGACATGTAGAAAACTAACGCATATGAAGGAGAAAACACAGACTCAAGGACAAGTAAGTTTATTTCTGAGATGTTCATGACCTATGTCCACAGTGAGAAGCTAAGCGGGAAGAAAAAATAGAACTCAGAGGTATGGAAGAGATGTACACAAGAAAATGACAATAATGAGATAATACCTAATTAGAACAATACTTTCACAGGAGGCTAATGGGAGTAGAGTTGGGGAAACACTTTCTTTCTCACAGAAGAGTTAATCAGTACTATGAACTCAAGTAAACAGCATCTTTAGCTTGAAAAAGATGCCAAAATAAATATCTGAGAGTTGCTTATCTTTCATCTCACACAAAGAAATGAAAACCAGATTAGATCTTCTTTCCTTTTCTCAGAGCTACATAAAATAAAGATTGTCCTTGTTATCCTGAAATATTTCGCAGCAAATCTTAAATAAATAAATAAGTAAAACATCTATCAATACAATATATGCTTCCCCCAGTACATTCACATGATGTCTGCTTCCTATCTGTAGGACTAATTCTGGACAATTTCTCCTGGGTATTCAAGAAAAAGGCATCTATAGAAAAGGCCACATATGAATCTCTTAAATGGTCCTCTTAAAAGCTCACGTTGGGAAAAGGCATTTCTCTGTGGGCCTAAAGGACTAGAGGACATAAGTACTTTTGGGTTTCTTCTCTTGGTGCTGCATCAGAAGACAACTAAGATTTGTTTCTTGTTTCAGGAGATCTGCACAAGCAAAATTTTGGCAGATTTCTGGGAAATTGCATATTTGACTTGCTGCCCCAAAAGGCTGACTGTGGCCTCATGAACTCAATACAACTTCAATAGAGCCAGATCATGTGCCATTATATTGCTGCTGTTTCTTCCATTGGCAAAATTGGGTCCATATTCTATTTCTATTTACATATTCTATTCTATTTACATTAAGCATTGGTTCTGTAGGCCAAATTACTGTCCTGAGGACACCTGAAGAATCTTCACAAGATGTCTAAGCTGGAGATCAGATACATGGTTTTTGTAGCTTCGGGTCACTGGAGCAGTTTACTCTTGGAGTTTGCTGAAGGTCTGCATGGATACATAAGGCAGCACGTTCTGTGGCCTGGTGTAGTCTAGCTTGAGCCAAACTGCTTTTTTTTCATGACTAAAACCTCTTTAAATTAAGGGAGTTAATTATGGTTATAAAAATTACAGCATAATGAAAATATTAGTGCTTAGCAGATTTTTTAACTGTCTGTTTCTCTTCCCTAGCTGTTTTCTGCTGGAAAACTTACTGGCTCCAGAGTAGCTGAGCTGAAGGCAAAGTACAACCTGCTGCATGAAACTGTGAGAAGGTACAATATTTACAGTTTCCTAAGTATATCCTGAAGCTTCAAAGTCTGAAGTTAGGTGTGGTAGCTGTGAGTCTGCCCTGCTCTGTTGAGACAAGGGATTGTGGTTGTAGTTTGGTGCCAGGCTTGAGCTCTTCTTTGAGCAGAAGGAAAAGAAGAGTAGATAGTATTGTGTTACTGGGCTGAATAGAGTGGCAGGACTCCAATATTTGCAAGTCTTTGTGACTAATATATTTGATCCTGAAAACATAGGATCCTAAAATTAAAAGTCTTAGTTTCATCCTAATAAAATGGGAAGCTGGAATGAGGCTTTGACTGTGTAAAAAAGTCATTTGACTTTATTCAGATCAGTGCACATCAAATATTTTGGAGAAACAACATTTAAAGCAGCACTTCTAAACCAGTTCAATGCCGTAGAGGCTCCAAGGCTGATGCTCAGAGCTAAACATATGATGTGGATTTTGGGTTAATTGATTGAAAATGTTTCCAGCACACCAGTGTTCACTGAGATGAAGGAGAAATCCAGTAGCTACTAAACATGATTTACTTTTAGCCAGTGTTAATTTGAAACCTGTCTTTGGCTGGAAAAAATTCAATCATGTCTATACTTACTTTATTTTGTATATTTTCATAGCATTTTTTTTAAATATAAAACATATTTTTTTATAATGGCAACTTTTTTTCTATAGGTAGTATAGGTGAAATACTGCCTGAGAGAAAACAAGACCAAACTCTTTTATACATAAAACTGCTTTAAGCCATGCACCAGAAGTGTGTTGGATGATAGACTATAGCCTTCATTCTCTTCATTGTTCTCACAGAAGTATGCAATTGCTGTATTTCTGCAAGAAAGTCAATTGGAGGGAGTCACAAAGACCTCTTTACTTGGATTAGCCATGTGCTAAAGCAAAACACTTACACATGAATGCACTAATGCTAATTTCCACAGATTAATTCCTCCTACTTCTGGAAGAAAGCAAGGGAAATCAATAATCAAAAATTCATCACAATCTCTGCTATATTTGAGGACTTTCCAAACAGTAAAGGCAAGATTCATTTGCCCGAATTTCTGTAGATACACACAGCTGAATTACGTACCTAGAGGCCATTAATACTCAATATCAGGAACCATACACTTTCTTCTTTAACAGACATCTCCAGGCATCTATTTTTGTCCATTGACTATAATCAGAGTCCAGATGATAGGGTGAGTACATGTTTATACTGTTGGTCTCAGTCAACTGAAGTGAAACCCTGCCCACCCTTCCAAAAAATCAGACTTCTGAAGGCAGAAAAATAATAAAATTTCTAGTGTGCTTATGACTCGTGTCACCCTCTTTTCAGTCTGTACTGAGCAAGACCTTTTGGGATCATCTGTGAGGCATTTGTCCTTTTCTTACAATTATTAAGAAGAATCAGTACAAATTTTTAATTTTTAGTTCTTCAGTAAAACTCTGTGTATCAGTAACTCATTTTTACACCTATCACAGTTGAATTTCATCACTTAACTGGTCCCCAAGGCAGAATGTCTTTTGTTTATCAGCACTGTTAAATGCTGTGCAGAAGAAAGTGATGCTGGGTGAGAAAGTCTTCAAACTGAGTGTAGTTCTTTCTTTTAGTCATTGGTATAACCTAAGGGAAGTTCAGACTGAATGTTAGACTGGGCTAGACTAGACTAGACTAGATGAGAATAGTTCAGTTGGAAGGGACCTTCAGAGATCATTTAGGCCAATTGTCTTAAGGGCCAACCAAAAGTTAATGAGGATATTATCCAGATGCCTCCTGAACACTGACGTGTTGTGTGTTGTGAGACACCATCCACCTCTCTAAGGAGTCTGTTCTATTGCTTGTCCAGTCTCACAGTAAAGAAAGTTTTCCTAATGTCCAATCTGACCATCTCCTGCTTCGTACCATTACTGTGCCTCCTATCATTAATTACCAGGAAATGGTAACTAAGAAACTTAAGAAGTTCTTCACCATAGGGAGATGGGCTTGGAAAAGGCACCCTAGGGCAGTGGCCATGGCTCCAAGCTGTTGGTGTTCAAGAAGAATTTGGACAGTGCTCTCAGACACTGAGTTTGAATTTTGGATGATTCTGTGTGGGATCCAGGAGTTGTACTCAACAATCCTTGAGGGTTCCTTCCAACTCAGGATATTCTGTGGTTCTATGACTTTATGAATAAAATTTTACGTACATCTATCTCAGAGGTAACAACGTGAGATTTATGCACCATGAAGAGTGTAGATCCCTGTGACAGTTCTGTCAAACTATTGCAAGTGACCTCTTGGTATATAATGCAGGTCTGTCTAATGTGATGAGTGGAATTAGTGAGCGCGCAGATCGTTTTAAGGCTGCTGATGGAGTACACACTGGTTAGCGCATACTGTGGTCCTTTCCTTAGTGGTAAATACTTCATTATTTCTCGGTTTCAGTTTTAGTTAATTTGGTATTCTGAAAAGTTGAGAGATGTCACCCGGCAGTCAAGATCCTTGACACACTGAGTCAGGCTGTTACATGTTGCTGAAAGTCTGCTGCACTACTGAAGTTCTGTGAACAGGCTGCCTTCCCTTTCTGCTGTTGTCTCACCCATCTGTTTTGCAGTGAGGCTGCATCTGAAGCTTAAGTACCTTACCTCATATTTCATCTTAGAAAACCTCTTTGGCCAAACAGACGTGTGGCTCAATTGTGAGTTGCACAAAATGACAGAATCATAGAATGCTTTGGGTAGAGATCATGTAGTCCAGCTCTCCTGCCATGGGCCAGCACATCTCTCCCTAGATCAGACTGCCCAAAGCCCAGTGAGGAGCCAAATACAAATATTCTCACACAACAAACTGTAAGAAAGTAATAATAGTTCATTGACGAATTTGGAATCCTATCTTCTTAAGTCTATATGAAATTGTTAGTCACTTCACTAATCCAAAAGCTGCTACATCACACACTGGGCAAACATATTTTCGCACACATGAGGGTCTAAACATTTACACTGTGTAGATTTCCAATCATTTCTTCATTGGAATTTAAACCTTCACGTGAAAAAATACTGTTGGTAACTATGAGGAACAAGATCTGGTCTAGATTCTGTTTTTTACTTTATTCTTTTTTTTTTTTTAATTGCTTTTTCCTTTTTATTACCTTGAAAAAAATAAATAATAAGAGGTTTTTTTTTTTTTTTTATGGAAGAACTTTTAATGTAATTTTATGTAAAATTATTATTCATATAAAATTTATGTTTAATTTATGTTTAATGGAGGAATTATTTTATAAACGAGTGTGTATTATTGCATCCAATTATATTTTCTCCCCAGATCAGTTTCATTATTTTGACTTATTTAAGTAAGATCTAATTTTTTATTTAGCTTTTTTTTTTTTTAATTTTTTATTTAGCATTATTTAGGATCTTGCGTAGATACCTCAAACAATTTTCTCCTTGAAATATTATTATATAAATATGTCAAAGCATGATGTTCATGATAAAGACACACTCTTATATCCTGTTTCTCTGTGGTTTTCTTATTTTCTGTTCTAAAAAAGGAAGTGGTTATTTAACTAGAAATGTTACACAAAACAAAACTCTTTCTTTGTTATTTCAGCATGTTCATACCATGTAGTCGGCTGTGTATTTTATGTTTTACAGTTACCATCCTAGTTCTGTTCTTTGGTGTGATGTAATTTTGTTGTTACTTAGCTTGCAATGTACTCACAATTGTCATCTTTGAGCTAGAATTTGGTGTAGAGATTCTCAGTACAGGAGACAATAATTTTATAAAAATAATAAATTACATTTTTTAATTAATAAAGGGCAAGTGATTGAGTTCTTTATTCTTCCTCATTACTTCTGACTAACTGTAGCATGCCACTGTATACAGCTTACAATTCAGTAATATTGAGAAGGCATGTACAATGATAGCAATAGCGAGAAGACTAAGTTGGTCTATCAAACAATGTATAATAATTTTCACGCTGCAGTTCAACAAGACTCTTCCATAATTACCAGTGTATTTTAATAGCAGCTTTTAAGATCCGTTATTTGGCTGTCGCCATGCAGGCTCATAAGCATATTGTGAGCACCAGTCTGGTAGCACTGACAGAATATTACAATTTGTTGTTTTCGTGAAGCCAAACTTTGGTGGCACAGGTGATTTCAGATGATCCCTCAGTTCCACTAATATGTTTCCAGAGAAGTCCACAAATGTAGTTGCAGCCTCAGATCATCAGGTGAGCTGCTTCAGCTGCTGGTAACACTCCAGCGACAGCAACACATGGCTCAGCACTGGGTACATGTCCAGGAGTTAGCTAAGAACATTGAGGTGTTGCACAGCCCAGGCTGGGCCCTGTACTGGTGAATACTGCCCTGATACTGGTCAGCACACTGATGTGATAAAACATTTTGTATTGTTGATCAAATCTCTTTCTTGTGTTCTTGAGTCAGTAACTTGTGCTGAAAGGGGTGCATTTACTCTCTTTGAATGGGACTTTTACTACTGAATTTAATTGTTTAGAATTTAACCTTAATTCTGGTTTTCATCTTCATACTTGTCTGTTGTCACTGCTGGTCACGTGGGAGAAAAAGTGCATTTTTCTCATGCCAGGAAGCAAAGGTTCCAGATTTTCACTTCCGTCCTTTTCTGCACGCTGTGTAGTTACCGAAGCTAAGCAGTAAAATGTTGCTTATCCCTCCAGAGTATTTCAGTTATTCAGAATGCTTTCCATGTAATCCGTGAGTTGAACCACTACCTGATACCACACACCAAGAATTGCTGTCTCTTCACTGATTCTAGGAGGTGCTAGATGAATAACTTTGAATAACTTGGACTAAGTGACCATCTTTCATCTGGTTAAAATTAAATGGGATTAGATGCAGAAAATCCCCTTTCAACAAGTCTCACTGTTCTCATGAGACAACACAGGTTTGAACTGACCTCAGGAGGTCTCTGGTCCAACCTCCTGTTTGATCAGGGTCAGCCATGAGATCCAACCAGATTGCACATGACTTAATCCATTCTCATCTCCAAAACATTGTTTTATATACTACAGAAATGTAAAGAAATGTAAATATAATGCTTGTGCTTAGATCTAAGTTTTTCTACTTAATATAGCTTACAGGAATCTGAGATCCAGCTGTTGCAGGAAGCCAAACGTCTTAGTGTAGACCTGGAACAACAGCAGCATGAACTGGAAAAAGCAGAACAGTTCCCTGAAGAATCTTCCAGTGAAGTCTGCCGATTAAGGCAACAGCTTCTTAATTGCCAAAATGAGTACAACGTTATTAAAGAAAGAGAGCATGAAATTCAGTTCAGGATAAAATGGTAGGTGACAACAATCAAATCTCTGCTTGTTTTATCATAGTTTATCTAAAAAGATAATAACAAAATGTAATTCAGTATCCACTATACGTGGATCTATTTCTTGACAGCTATTTTTAAGCAAATTGCAACAAACTTGCCTAGTAAGGACATTTCAGAGATTAATAAAATTATTCCCATGTGTGGTTTGTAGATAATTTTTATTTTAGAAGGTATCCTCTGAAATACAACTTTAGTTTTATCATATTGTACCATTAATGTTTGGAGAGGCAAAACTTTCAGCACCAGTTCTAGTCTAGGATAACTTCAATACTAAGGACACCTTCAGTACTAATGGCTAAAGTATCTCAGAGCTCTGGTGACTGGGTTTTTATGGAAACAATGTCATAAATAGACTCAACGCTATTTTTAACATCAAAAATACATTTTATTCAGGAGTTTCTACTCAGTTATTTAAATAGGAAAATCATTTCTATACTCTCACATCTGAGAAATGAGAAATTTGCTGTGAAAGATGTGAATATTGAAAATTTTATAAAAAATTATTACACAGTATTGTACTGAATCATTTACACATCGGTGTATTGCAGTTGGTGCTTCTACAGTAAAATTACAAACAACACTATTGTACTGTTAAAAATACGTTCCTATGGAGATGAGCTCATATTTTCACTTTGTGGAGTGTTCACCATTTTTACCTATCTTCAAACCAGCAATACTTCAGTTGGCACATAAAGCTAGATAAGTAATGTCAGCAAGTCAGCGGTTAAAACTGATCTTCTACAAGGAAATCAGAGGCAGTGTATGAGCTGCATGGAGTAGATTTTTCTGGCAGTTCTTCCTTGATATTTTTTGAAGAGCCAAATGTTTTCTCTAATAGAGAAACTTGAGAAGGAAGTAAACTGGGAGTGGGAGAAATAGAGAAATCATCTGGAAAAAATTATTTGCTATGAGATAACTAAGCACCATGAGATTTCCTGAAAAATTATTAAATACAGAATGTATTGAAAATTACAAGCAATCCAGAAACACGCTGTTCAAAATGTCATGCTTTTTGACCCATTTCCCCTCACTCATTACAAACATTTCTCACTAATTTGTATTACATTTCCAAAGAAATGGTGGGTTTTGTATGATTAAGGGATATCTACTCATACTCTACTTTTTACCTTTAGTTAAAGGGAGATTTCTATGTCCTGCAGAAACACAACTTAGATATTCAGTTACCCTTGAACATTTTCTTCATTGATCCTTAAATTTGAATTTAAAATCTTATAGCGTCAATTAAAAATATATATGGTTTGGGTCAGCACTAGTGGGAAAAATGTTATTTCACTTTTATAAGAAGCTTGGTGATGCACTGGAACAGGTTGCCAAAGGAGGCTGTGGATGCCCCATCCCTGGAGGCATTCAAGGCCAGGATGGATGTGACTCTGGGCAGCCTGGTCCGGTGGTTGGTGACCCTGCACACAGCAGGGGGTTGAAACTAGATGAGCATTGTGGTCCTTTTTAACCCAGGCCATTCTATGATTCCTCTCTGTGGCCTCTTGCTTTGCATGAGATCAAACCCAGTCGTACGGTCTGATCCGAAGTCCATATGGCGCAGTACCTAAGAACGACCAAAAGAACAGCAATCATCCATTTGTGAGACAGAGATTTCACAAGCCAAATGCATTCCTCTTTATTTAAGAATCCTCAGCTGATCCCTCTTCCTTCAACTTTTCCTGTCTCCTCTTAAGCCAATATAAACTTCTGGCATTGCAACACTCTGGGCAATGAGTTCCACAGATTAACTCCACAAGCACTTCCACTTATCTATTTCAAGCCTAATCATCTGTTTTGACTCCTAGCAGCTTCATTTCATGCTGGTAGTTGTACTGGATGAGGCCAGACGTCTGGACCCCTATTTGTCTTCACTGCTGCAGGATGGTTTGATAGATCTCTGTTGCATTCCCCCTCATTTATCCACATTCTAAAGTGAAGAGCCACAGGTTTTTAAAATATTCCCTATTCAGCATTGTGCCTCATGGCAGCACCAGGTCTCGTGCCTGTTGTGGGGTTGGTGTGAACTGAACATGCCTCAGTTACCTGTGGATTTGCGCTCTGGGAGAGAATACACTAACTTGCCAGAGATGAGAGGGATTTTTTTTACCAAAGAAGGGTAGAATGAATAGGACTGGCAGAGTAGCATATCAATGTGAGGAACGAATAAATGAATGTAGATGTGGAAACAAGAAACAAGCTATGGAGAAAAAACAGACAGCAGATGTTAATATGTTTGTAAAGAAGGAATGTGTTGGTTTGAGTAAAATAAGTGGAACTGAGTTTGCAGAATAGGGTAATGAGTAGCAGGTTCTCTAAGAAAAGCATTGATGTAAAACGAAGAACTCTGTGCCTGATGGTTTTCTCCACATAATAAATTATACCTTCTGACATGTAGGTCTGCACAAGCAGTCTCACAGCCTGGGGGCAAACCTCACCAAAGATACTGTAAGGTGTCTTAGAGTCATTTTAAGGTGTTAGGTGTCTGCTTGGTTCCCTTCATTTTTCAGAAGGATAGAATCTCCTCTCACAGTCCGATCTCTCTTGGCCATCGGTCTCTCTGGACCACAGTTTCCCTTGCTGTCCAACTGTGTTAATATAACAGTCCCAGCTGTGCTTGGCACTTACAACAAAATTTTGGGAATTATGACTAATGGCTGTTTAGCCTGAAAACAAACATATTGCTTATTTACCTTCTTGAATGGAACGTGAAGAAGAAAAGCCTTTGAAGGGAATCCGTGTCTCTTATCTATTGCTTTATCTTTATCTTAGGAGTCTCAAGTAAGATCTTGCCTGCTTAGATGGAAGCAAGTGTGAGACTCTGAAGACCTTCCATTTCCTTGTTTCTGTAGTCCCTTCTTTTTCTCTTGAAGAATGATCGTGATATAGCATAGCACTGTTGGGGTTTTTTGTCACTTAAATATTTTCTCTCTGTTCCGCTTCCATCTTTCATTTCCTGTCTTCTTGCCTCTATAAACATTTTTTTTTTCCAGATCATATACATTTTTCAACATCTGAAGGTGGTACTTCATCTTTTGTTTTAATTACTTATTGTTTTGTACAACTGGAAGTGCCTCAGTAAGAATATAGACTGAAAATGGATTGATATGATCAGCAAAGATGGGTTCTGTCTTGAAGAAAAAATTTATTTTACTGCCCATGTGAGGTTTGGAGCCCTGGCTTTTGAGATAAAACAAGGAAGTGCTGCTTTGCTTTATTAGATCATAGCACCAGTTATTGCTCATTACTGATTAATAATGAATTTGTCATATAAATGAATATATGACCTAAACTTTAAAAAGTAAGCAATTAATTTAAAATTAGATTATTTATACCTAGAGTCTGTGTGGTTAAGTGTGCCTGATTCTTGAAAACAATTTTCTCCCAAAGCCCCAGTCTAAGCTGCAGCCCTTATAGCCAGTTACCCAGCTCACAAAATGGCTACTCACTCAAGTCCTGTGTGCTATTGCAGACAAATCAGGATTGCAAAACAGATTTTGTCCTTGTACAAGCATTACAAGTATGGAAAATTACTTCAATGCTTGCAATTATTTCAGTATTAGTCACTGAGCAATTAAAAAGGGAAAAGTTTTTATCCGTAGTTTATCTAGTAAAGAATTACAATTAATAAATAAGTTAGATTACAGTTTGAAGTTGGTACCAGCTCATCTTATGACTGCATTCTCCAGTGTGTACAAACTAAACAGCGTTAAGAGCCTTACAGGAATGCCATGCTGGCAGCTTGTTAGCTCTGATATGTTGTTGTGGTCACTAGCTGGGAGGTTTGTAGTTGTGAAGTGCTGAGCACTTTCTATGGTACCTCAGCAGTCCCAACTATGTGTAAGAGCAGTTGAAGAAGTTCACTTCCTTGTGTGTTGGGATTCATGGCGTTGAGAATGTTCTTTTGCTTGCGGAGGAACTGAAATGAACCTCTGTTGACAACTACCACTGCATTTCTTAATCTCTCTGACAATTTTATTTTATTTCTGCAGCAGTTTGCAGCTGTAGACATCTCTGAGGGAAAAGTCTGGAATGCATTTTCATTAATGGTCCAATTTTCCACATGCTTTTTTTTTTTTTTAACTCATTACATCTGCATCCGTGATAGCTTTAAATGCATGATTCTGCTATTGAACTTCACAAAGATAAGTAGAAGGTAAGAAACGCTCACAAACACTCCTTTCCTGCTCCCAGATGTATGCTCCTCTCCCTTTCCATTGCCCTAGTCCACACCCATAAGTCACTTCAACTCTTCAACTCACTAAAAGAGAAAAAGAAGTAAAAAGTCTGATTTGGTGATTTTTAGCTGTTTTAATGACTTATGTTGGCTCACAGAGTAGTTTCTTAGGAACCCTGGAGCTGCCTTGAGGGTTCTGTGGCCAAGAGCTGAGGAGAAACCCGGAGCTTTGAGATGCTCAATATTTACTGGTGGTAATCTATTAAACTGAGTCATAACAATTCATGAAACCATATCCTCACGAGGGTAAGATAAATCACACCAATAGCACTCACCGAATGCACAGAAAGAGTTTTGTTTTAGCACCTAACTTAAGTCCAGATTTGAAACATTCATTTTAAACTTGAAATGCAATTTTTAAAGGCAGTTTTTCGAAAGGGCATCCAATGGAAAAAAATTTTCAGAAACTAAAATAATGTTTTGCCAAAAAACTAACAGTGTCAGGGAGAAAATACGAATTTTAGCAAAACAAAATGAAAAAAAGCAATCTGCAAAAGTGAATGTTAAGTATGTAAAACTAATGTAGTAAATTCTTTAAATGTTCACATTTTTTGAAATTATTACATTCAAAAATAGTATTTCCCTTCTTCATTTTTCTATTCTTTTTACCCTGTCTTTCACCTCTTCCTTCTGCCCCCATTTTCTTTTTATCCCTTCACTGTTTTCTGTGTAATAGAAGTCAGCATGCCAGCTCCTCTGGCAACTTCACTTGGTGCTTGCAGTGTCCTGTTGCCCTTGTTTATGTCACAGAAAACGAGGTGTTCAAATCATTTTACTTTTGATGGATGGCAGAGTCTTTGTTGTGAGGTTGGAATGGCTCCACAGGAATCTGTCCTCATGAGTGAGGAATGTGACAAAAGAAAAACAGTGTCAACTGTGTTCTCCTCCTAATTTTTTTGATTGTTCTTTTGATTGTCTGGCACAATATAAAAGAGGGCACAGTGCAGACTGATGATGACCACTGCAGTCTTTAATCCATTTGAGCAGGACTTATTTAATCAGGTTCTGTGGCAGTCAGACAGTTGTGGGTATTTGTGCAGAGTGAACATTCATTACAATTAGTGTGATTATGCCAGTCCCAAGGAGTCCTGCTAGGAATCCTGCCCACACATGCTGGGAATACAAATTGTCACTGTTAACTTATTAATACACTCAGAAAACCTGTCAGTAGGTGGAAATATTGAGTTTGACCAGCACAGCATTTCAACGTAGGTCTCAGCTGTAGTTCAGAGGCATAGTACACGGGAACAAATATTCTATCACCAAATCAAAGTAGCTCAATTTTCATCACAGTTTGATCCCTTGTTGTCTATAACCAGTGGGACATAAAAGCAGTAACTCCTGAACCAACTTCAGCAAAGAAACCACCTGATGTTTCTGTCTGCTCAGTTATACTTGCACTGTACAGTGCAAGATATGCCTGTGTCTGTCTGCAATCTTGTTCTGTGCAGTTTCTCAATTTTGAAATGGAACTTTCCTTTATAAATATTTTCATCATTTTGGGGGGGACGGTTGATCTAAAATTATTTGTTTTTCTTTGAAAAACTTTTCCTACACTCATTCTCTCTGGCACTGAGATCAGTTTTCAGACACAGCAGTTCCCATGGAGGCATTATTGCACTCTGCACAAACAAATATACGTATGTACTGTAAATAAAAAGCTCTACTCTGTGTCTTTATTTCCTCTTTGCTCTTCATCTGAGTCAGACCTTGTTCTTCACGAACATTTGAATTGCAACACTGCCAGCTCAATTCTCTTTTAACTGTTTTATTCCTCTGACTGATTGAAAAGTCTTTATCTGGGGCTTATGCATAGAAGTTTTGCACCTTTTGTTTGAAGAAAAAAACCACAAAACATAAGAAACCAGTTACTAGGAAAAAAAACAACAAACAAACAAACAACAACAACAAAAAAAAACACTAATAAAGAAGAAGTGACCAAGAGATCCAAAGGATTCTCCAGGCCACCAGTCAGCTGATCTCTCCCCACCATTGCTACCACCCAAAAAGCGAACCACTGCCTTGCAAAGACTGAAGCTGCCCCTGGAAGGTGTCGAAGAAATACTGATGGGTGGCTTCTCTTCGGTGTGACCCACATTCAGAAGACCTGTTCTGCGCAGTCAAGGCTGCTCCAGGGTTCCCTTGCCACAATTTACACCTTTGAGTGACACAACTGTTTCATGAAAGCCTGTCTGCCTCTGTCAATTCTCCCTTTATTTAAAGAGTGGGATAGCAGATTCTTGCAGACAACCCTGAGGCTCCAGGTGAACTGACCAGCACATCCTCATGTTGGAGAAACACAACACAGATTTATTGTTTGAAGTTGATTCTTTTGTATGTCTGGGACAAATAATTTTGTTTCACCTGCTCCTTAGTTGTAATCATTACTCATTTATAGCTTGACACTCAAAAAGTGTCATCACAAATATTAATTGTATTGAGAGAACCTGCTTGCTAATTCCCCCGCCAGTGCTACAATGACTAAAGCTCAATTTGGTTGTGCTAACATGCAAGCTGCTGTAGACCATATACCTCATTTAGGTTGTTGTTCATTGCATGCACTGGGGTTGTACTGATGTATTCCCTCACTAATTCCAAGGCTAGTTTGTGATATTTGGCAGTTTTTACCTATCTGCCATCAAGGAGCTCCTGTTTTAAGTCTAACATGCTTGCTCACTCAGCTCCATTTTTTGTTGTCACTTCTTCAACTGTGTCAGGGCAACATGGCTGAAAACACACCCAAAGCTCTCCTATATTTCCTTTCCTCCTTCTGCTCTCCATCATCTGTCTCTGATGCCAGACATGAAATTGCAATGGTGTTGGACATAGATGATCTTTAAGGCCCTTTTCAACCCAGGCCGTTCTATGATTCTGTGGTCACCTTGGCTCTTCAGTATAGTTTGCTACTATGTCCCATTGCCTTAGCCTATGTCCCTGGTCACTTTTCAGGAGTATTTTGTCACAGGAGCCCATTTTAGATTTGAGGAACTTTACTTTCAGCTGTTTACAGTGTGAATGTGAACAATCAAAGAAAGAAAGTTTCACACCCCCAAGTGCTCTTTCATTGGCATGTGATCTCTTTGTGGATATACTTTCCACACCTACTCTTTCCTTTTCCTCAGCTCTATGTTGAAGTGCTGTGAAGTGTGTTGAAGTGTGTAGGATGTTTCTGATTCTCTAACTTTGTTAGTGTTACCACAGGGGTGAAGGAGGAACAAAAGCAACCATACAGGAGGTGGTAAGACTAAGAAAGTCCAGATCAAATGGTGAACTAGAAAAAATGCTGCTTGAGTATGACCTATCTTTTAGCAGAGAGCAATCTCTGTTTACATCTGAACACCCTTAAGCTGTCCCTGATGATAGCTCACCATATGTGTTGGTGGAGCAGAACAGAGGCTTCAGTACTTGTTCCTTGTTTGACGTATTACTAATACATCTAGCTCTGCTTTGATTCTCCTGCAGTTTGCAAGAAGAGAAAAGACTTCTGGAAAAAGAATATGAAAGAATTCCAAAGCAAGGTGTAAGTATGAAATGTGAGAAAAGACATGTTTTCTGTTCTGTCTGCTAATACACCAAAACATCTCTGAAAATATTTTCACAGTGCATGGCTATAAAGGTCTTTAACTTACATAGAAAGATAGATAGCTGATTTTATGGGAGAGATGATAGCAAATAATTCAGGTCTGATGACTGTAGGCGAAGCAGTGCTTATTTGATTGATAAAAGATCTGGATATTCCTAAGTTTACTCAGTATTTTTTTACAGTATGCAGCAAATGGGTAAAGATAGCTACAAGTTATAGGACGTGAGTATGCAAAATACTTCTGCAGTCAAATTCTGATGAACACATGCATATTTGTTGGAAATAAAATTCTGCTAATTATCAGTAGAAGAAAAGATCATATTTTATACCTTGTAAAAAATGTTAGCATCATTCAGTGTCAGTAAATTCTGTAATATCTGAAACATCAAACAATGTAAAGGGATCTCATCTCCTACTTCATCTTTAAAGGAAGCAGATAAGAAAATTAAAAAAATGAAAGAAGATTGTGATGAGCTCCTCAAAGAAGTAATCCAAAGGAAAGCAGAAGTTAACGCAATGAAAGAAGACATTTTATCCAAGCAGAAGCTGATGATAATAGATAAGAAAGAAGTGGAAAAGCTTCTGGAGGTCCAGGATGGTTTAAAAGTAACACAAAATTAATTATGCACATATCTTTGTGTTTGTGCATGTATGTGTGTGTGGGTGCCTGCTCTTGTCTAAGGATGCAGTGAATCTACAGTGCAGTCTAAGGATGCAGAGGATGTTGCTTGTCATTCCAACTTATTTAATGGCATTACAGTATGGATTTTATCATTTTCCAATAAGCATGAGATATACCGCTGTCCCATATTCACTGTTATTCCTATAGGAAATAATAGAAGTCATGGTTTTGAGTAAAAGTGCTTTGCAAAATGTTGTGTTTGCTATGTTGTGTTATTGTAAGGCTCCTCTAACACATCCAACCTAGTGCAGATTTGTCCAGAGAATTTTAAAAAATGCACCCAGGTCTTTGCAGCTTTCCTTTTCATGATATAGATGACATATGCAGGCATATTAATTGCATCCAAGTGGGAATCTTGTTTTTCAGACATAATGACATGGTAAATAACAGTAATTATTTTCAAAAGCAGCAACTACAGTTCCCTGAGATAAGCTCAAATAATTTGAAAATAGGTTTCTTGCCAAGTTTCACAGCAGTTCTATATGAGTATTAATTCTGTTAAATCACCCAAGATTGTGAGGCTATGAACCTAACCTTTGTCTTTTGTTGCTAGGATGAATTAGTTAAGATCCTTGGTGTTCCAGTGCAACTTAGAAAGGAAGCTGAGAAGATAAATCAGAAAAAAATGTACGCTTTTAGTAAATAAAATAAATATATGTATGTATGTATTCCTTGTTTTCATCCATTTGTTACACAGGCATTAGAGAGTAGCTGTTGATTGAAATTAGGATCATCATTAAAAACAGTGTTGATAATCCACTCAAAATCAATGCACCCTTCTAAAAAATGTTGCTTATGCAGTGAAATACTTTCCATTTAAATACTTTCATCTATTGGAAGATGTCCCTGTCCATGTCAGGGGACTGGAATAAGATAATCTTTAAGGTCTATTCAACCAAAACTATTCTATATTTGTATATAATTTAAGCACACAAAAAAAAATAGAGAACAAAGCTGATAATTATTTAACCATCTTACTGCACTACAGTAATTAATATATATCAGATCTGCTTAGTGGATTTTCAATGGTTAATAAGTTAAGCTGTTATGTGTAGTGTGTAACACAGCAATTAGCCTGTTTTATATGTTGTAGATCTCAGTGAGTGCACATAAGTTTATTTACATTGGCCTCAGGGAAACTGCAGCAGTTTTCACGCAGGTGGAGGTCTGACCCAAGGAAACAAGCATTTTCCCTCCATGCATACACAGCGGTTTGTCAGGCAGAGGCTGTTTACTATAAGCTCCCAGTGTGAACTCTGTCAAATATTTCAGCTGGGAAAGCCAGCCAGTCAGCAGCCTTTTTTTCTCTGTTTTTGTGGCTGTTTTGTCCTCCATCAGAGCATAATGTGCTGCTTTCTGCATGTGTAAAATCTATCTGGTACCTGCAGTGTCAGCCTGGTTGCTCCCAGCTGCTGGAAGCTAAGTGCCCATCCAGCTGAACAGACCACATATGCCCTGCTAGCACACAGGGATACACAGAGAGTTTTGTGTTGCCTGCCTGCAGTCCCTGTCAGAAATAAAGTTGTTGGTTGACTGTGTTAAATTTCTCAATTTTAAGATTTATGTGATAGTTTTATTTTCTCCTCAAAACTCTGCTTAATGTTTAATGTGACTCTGCTATTGTACGTACAAGAAGTTTTCCCTATTGTGGTACAGAGAAACAGTTTTAAAGAGTGAGTGCACTTAGTAGATTATTAATGGAGTATTTAAATGAGTCCTTCTACCTGAGACAGGTCACAGACACAAACTCTGAGCTTCCAGCCTTGGAATGACGGCTGGAAGCATCACAACCCTGGATCCAGTGATGCTGACAGAGCTCCGTTACCATTTTTTAACACTGATTAGGTGGTGCTAAGATCCCCACGATCATTTGTAGTTTGATGCAGAACTGTCCTGCAATGTGAAGATTTTCACTGTCTGTAGCTTGCTATTGTACGTTTCGAGCAGATAGCTGTGGCTTTGAAATAATTTTGTGCTCCTGTGAACACTGACAACCTAAATTTTGTCATTTAAATACATATGTAGCAATGTCAACCTCTACTCTTTTGTTAACACATATCCACAGCGATGCAGAGAATCAAAATGAAGACCTTAATAACCAAATGCAGGAGTTAAACTGTGCCCTGAAAGATATTGACAAAGGGACAGAAAATATCTTGCAAGAAAGAGAAGATGTAATGAAGGAATTGAATGGAAAAAGAGCTTTGCAGGAGAGCAAAGAACAAGAATGTGCTGCTTTGATAAGATTGCTAGAAATTGGCAGAGAAAAGGAACTGATGATCCTGGTAGAGAGGTAAGAGCGCTAGATGTAAGCTGTGTAGAGTGAGGGAGCACTTTGTTCTGAAACATCTCTTTTTGTATTGCTTTGCTTATGTTTTCAAGTTCTATGTGGAAACCATGATGGAGCAGAAATACCAGAGTTGGTTTTGTCTTCAGGAATGTTTCTATAAACTGCTGGTCTCTGGGATCTGGCTCAGAAAAGAACATCAAGAAGTAGAAACGTTTGATAAAATCCTGGGAGAGTAAAGCTCTGCATTTTGCTCTGGAAGGGAAAATGGTTCTCCCTGCAGTGACAGTATCTTTTTCTCTGTGTAGCCCACAGAAAGCAAACTAAGCAAAAAAAGTTCAGCTGTTTCATTTTCAGATGAGACTCATAGATTTCTGCCCCATACTCCATAATTTCAATGGGAATTGGCCACTCATAGCTTTCATATTCTCTTTGAAATTTTGATCTTATATGTACTTGGTAAACTAAAATAAGCTGTTAGGTCAGTCATAAGCTTCAACTGACTCCTGAGGACAAAGTACAGGTATAATCATGGTCATATTCTCAGCACAAATGCTTTTGCCTTTGAAGTTTTATGTTAAAGGATAGCGGCACTGTGAATTGAAATATCTGAGGGTCATGACCATGTAAACATACTAAAAAACCATGTCTTCTTCCTATAATAATTCATCTTCTACAGACTTGTAGCAGATTTAGAACAGGTTGTGAGACCTCACTGACATAATTAGGAATATTATCATTTCTTAAAGTTATAAAATTGTTAAAACGTTAAAACGGCTAATTGTAAGGTGACTTGTGGCAGTACATCATGATTTTGTCTTCCTGCTTGGAGATAATTACTTTGTACTCAAACCCCATTAAAATGATTGTGCCTGATGCAAACACGTCTTGCTCAAATTACCTGTCTCTGAAATTCTCTGTTTATCTCTATAGAGACTCTCTGAACCATGCATTAAAGGAACAAATCCTTGAGAAAAAGCAACAACGGGAAATTCTCATTCACATGCAAGTAGAGAAAGATAAAGAACTGAGAAATCTGAAAAAGATGGAGCTACAGCTGAACACGATTAATGAGTCCTTGGAACAAGACAAGTCACAGCACAAAACATTGAAATTAGAGGTCTGTATGAACACATTGATCATAAGAATTCCAAACTTTCTTGCAGAAAATTCATGTATGATATACTTGGACTGATCCTAACAGAGGGAGTAGGATAAGACTTTTCTAAGTCTTATGCACAGAGAAGTGTTAAGAGTGCCACAGCTACTGACTAAGGATGCTCTCAGTTTTTATAGCTGTAGTGAGAATACTGTGTGAACCCATACTGGGGCTCTTATTAAGAAATAGTAATTAAATGAGCATCCTAATCAGAGCTGGCACTGATTATATTGGCTCTGTGTCCCATGTCCTCCTTTGAGGCACTGTATCATTTTCTATGTGCAGTAGCATAGTAGCTTGCTTGCTGGCATCAAAGAAGTTTGTATCAGGCAAATAAGGCCACATAGCCACATATTACCCAGGTCCTGGGTTTCACATCAGATAACAAAGATCATCTTTATTAAGTTTGAAGATTGCTTGAACATTGCTGCAAATAATTTATGATGTGTTTAACATTATTCTGGGGGCAGGAAATCAGCACTCTATATAGTCTGGTAAATATATATATATATATATATATATATATATATATATATATATATATTTCCTTATGTTTCCTTCATTTCCACTGAACTTTCTCTTTTCTCAGCTTCCCCCTTGTTTTAGTGTATCACCCATTACTCTTCTCATACCGATTTATTCTATCTTTTGTGCCTTCTATTACCTTGCTATTAAAAAGCAGTTTTAGTTTGCTTGTCTACTTGAAGCATTTCCTTTCTTTTCTTCTTCCCATTCTTTCTTAAAACATTATTTTGTCTGCTTTTTCCCAATAACTTCCTCTCATCACTGGTTCTTCTAATCCCTTTTTCTTCAGCTTTTTTCTTACATTTCTTTCTAGACTGTAAGTCACTCATAAAATTCCCCATGCTTAGTCGGTATTTTTGTTTTGCAGAATAATAATATATCAATTATCTGATTTGGAAGTACAAGGAGTTGATGTTTCTTAACATGACATTGTGTCAGCACCATTTTTCTTGGTCCTTCTAAGCAGAAAAAGGAACTCTTTGTTGCATCACTATAAAATTCTTTACGTAACTTTATGGTATCAGAACCCACGTATACTTGGCTTTGCTATTTTTTCCAACTCTAAACATTACTCAGTAATATTTAATCTTTGTCAATCAGACTTTTTTTTTAATGTCTTCTTCTATACATGAAGATGACATTTTCTCCTGAATTCACACGTGCATTAATTACCTGGTAGCACACTTGGGAAGAGGAAAAGCTCTATATAACCACACCTAAACTTTTAACCCGAATTTCCTGAGCTATTGGTTAAAGGGATGCACATATTCCAGACTTGGATCTTAAAGATCATGCTGTGTTTCTATTTGGTATCAGCTCAGAGAATCTGGGAAGCTGAATTTTGTCTTGTGTTGCTATTGAAGAAAGAATTCTGGAGGGAGGATCACAACTGTTCAAAGTCATGCGATATTAAAACCAAGCCCCGTCATTCACTGATAGAGATGTGGTTAAAGTTCACTGAGCTGGGTGAGATCCCAACCCAACCCCTTTACACTGTGTGAAAGGGCCAGAGACCTGCAATGGAACCATACAGGTTTAGTTGCATTGCAGGGGATTCCCTCAGTGCTAACACCGGGTTATACTGCAGGCTTGAATTTGTGTTGCAAGTTGCAGCACCACGAGGTGTGCGGGAGAGGGAATGCCAGCAGAGATAAAGGTGGAGCTCAGAGTAGAATCATTCTGCAGAAGCTGCAGGATGCTGCTGTGTGAAAACGTGAACAGGCCAGGACAGTACAGTCTTTTCAGCTCATCTGTCCCATTGTCTGTGTTTTCTCGGATTGCATTCTTGGCTCTTTTAGATGAGAAAATGTGAAATCACCTCTGCCCTGCAGCACAGTCAGCTCACATGCAGTACTGGAGTGAGAACTGCAGTTCAAGCTCAATTCTGGTTTCATTTGCTATCTTGAGATGATTTTCATTTGAAAGATTTGGGAGCACAAAAGTTGACGTATTTCAATATTCAAGGTGATTCCAAGCAAAAAACTCACCAGGAATAATAGCTAATATAACAGTGTGATTGCAGAGGCAGCAGTCCATCAACATGCTTCCCCAGATTTCTCCTAGTTTAAGCGATGTGCTAAGTGCAGAGCAATTGGTTTGTAGAATAAGGAAATCACATGAACACTTCCTTCAACTTTTTTCTTCTCAGTAAGTTGTGAAAGGTCAGCTGTTGCTAAAGTGACATTCTGTGTGAAAGAGAACTGGCGGCCCTGGCTGCCTCCAGCCCCGGGCAGGGCTGCTGCTCCTCTCCCTGGCCTGGTCTCCTGCCAAAAGCGCCAAACTTGAGTCTTGTCTGATGCCAACAGAAGCCTTTAATGGATGAAAGATGTTGGTAGGAGCTTTCTGCTTCCAGACACAGGAGCCTGATGGCACCTTTAGAATCCCATTTTGGAAATGTGTGTCCACATCCGCCACAGCCAAAAGTGCACAGCAGAAGTGGTAACAGCACAGCAGAAGTGGTAACTGATGTACACTGCAGAAATGCTGTGTTCACTCCCTCCATGAGAGCGAAAGCAATTTGTTTAGCATGGATTATGTTGACCTTTTAGCAAATCTAAGTCAGATCTGACCTGTCCCAGAGCTGGAATCAAATAGCAAATAATCTCAGAGCTTGACCTTTACCATGCCATGTTATCCTTTCTTTTAGTGCAAGTGAACAATATCTAGTTTTATAATATTACCCCTGAGCCGAAAATCATGAGTGCAGAATATCTCATCATTGATGTGAAGGTTTCCTAACATCTGGTTGTGATCTGAGAAAAATACCAGAGTGCTGTGAGGCCAAAAAAACCTGGTGCCTCACAAGATCTATCACACAAATGGTTTTAGTTGGATTGTTCAGATTTAATCAGAAAGTAATTTCTTCCTTCTCTCATTTCTTTCTAAAATCTGGCTGAATAAACAGGTTCTCCCATAATGTACAAGAAAAAGTTGTACATAGCTATGCTGTTTGCTTGGACTTCCAGGAGCCTCAGGGAGAAACAGGAAAATCCTTCACAATTTAAACCAATAACGTAACACTTATGCATTCCATCACTTAAACTGGGCTTTGTAACGTTTAAGAAAACCTTCAGAAACTTGGACATGGTGTTGAGGAATTCTGCTCAGCCACCAGTAACTCTTGGATTAAGAGTTGCAACAAGACAGAAAAATAATAATTTCATCATATGTATAAGTAATTGAAATAGATTTTCTGCATTTTTCACACCTCTTGTTGCCATCATTGAGAATGCCTGATTTATTTTTGCAGGCAGAAGCTATCCCTAAAATTAATGGAGTATTACTAGAAAGAAGACGAGAACTGCAGAAGGAAATTGAAATGAAAAAGAGATGTTTAGCTAAACAGGTGATGAGTTCTTCATTCTCATATTAATTCCCTGTAATGATTGGTTTTCTGTCATGAGAATAAAGGAACCATTTTTTAATTTTTTTTTTTTTAATGGCGATAGTTTCTGACTGATCTGTATGGAAGGGACCTTGACGATCCTCTAGTTACAGTTCCCTGCCACAGGTGCAGACATCTTCCTCTAGATGTGTGGATGTCTGTCGATATTCACCGGGGTCAAATGTGCTGGAAATGCAGATGTCTCATTCACAAGAGTATTACTGCTTGCCACTTTCTGGATGACTTTATAATAAGCAGTAAATTTTAGACATACTTTCTTCCTAAGTTCATATTCTCTTATCTTATTCTCATATTTCTTTTGTGCTGTCTTTGAAGTCATTAGAATTGTCAGGTGAGATTCAGCTTGTGTTTGGATATGCATAGGTACATACATGTCACTGTTTGTGTCCTTAATGGTCCGCCATAGCTGGTGGAGCTCAGAAATTCATCCATTCACCTCATCCTGAAATAAGCTGATTTGAAGGTTACACAAGGAACCGTTCTGGATATTTGAACTGATCACCAGTACAATACAGATCATAGAAGTTCCCTGAATAAACTCTCCTTTGAACTACAGCAAAGACTTAGGGAAAGTCCAAATCTTGATTTCAAAATTACACTGGGAGAGAAAGGACCAGTTCCTGCCAAATTGTGTCAAGGGTTAATCCATGTTAAAAATGTCTGGTTACTGTCATCAGAGTTTGACTAGTTTCACCTTTCAGTCACTCTATTTTTTAAGTGTTTGACCTTTGATTTGAGGAGTTTGTTATCAAACTTCTGTTCACTGTACAGCTACAAAAAAAAAAAATCCAATCTCGTTATACAGTTATCTTGCTTTAAGGAGACAAAGCTCTTTGAGATTCTTAGCATAGAAGGTGTTTTCCAAGCCTTTTGCAGCACAGTTTACTGCATGCCCTGATTCTTTGCTTTTATATTCAGCAGCTGGAAGTGCTGCTGGATGGAGGAACAGAAACTTTGTAAGTGCTAAAATATTTTGATGTTACCACAGGATTGTGCGTGGTGCTTCAGATGGTACTTTTAAGTCAGTTTTGTTATTCATTTATTTTTAAATCCATGTATGGTATGCTTTGTAAATAAACCCAAAGTGTTTCAAACACTGGTAATACGTCAGGGCATAAGGAACTGACTTTGATTTCCTCAGGAGCTGGTATCAGGTATGGATGCCCACACGTTAGAGGAATGTATTGCTGAAGAAGGCCGGCTGTTCAAGGAGCAGGAAAGATGCCGCAGTGAGTTATCCAGACTTGCACAGCTGACTTGGCTGAAAGTTGAAGAGAAGGAACAGAAATCTAGGGAAGTTCAGAAAGTCCAGGTATCAAAATATCTCATATAATTGAAGGTCTGCTCTAAAGCAAAAGCTGCTATATGAAAAAATTAAATCACTAATGAGAAAAACCTTATAGGCTCTCATTTCCCACTTTACCTTGAAGTTCCATTGGAAATGCTCATCACAACTACCCCTGTTCATTGCAGGGGAGTTGGACCAGATGACATTTAAAGGTTCCTTCCAACTCTAAGGATTCCATGATTAACACAGGCAGCTCATAGTACTCCGTTACTTGGTAGCAATTTATGGTGCAGTACAACAGTGCACTAAAATATCGTGCTACAGTTGAAATAAGGTGTTTGAAAGGATGTTTTCTTTCAAGGCTACAGAATAAAATGAACAATTATGGAAGAGGCAGAAAAGCAGATAGCCCCAACTGAGATCCTTGGAAGTACAAGAAGGTTGTTTTGTTTTGCAAATGTATGGACATCAGAAGATACCCAGAACTACTATTCACTCCAAGGAGAGACACCAGTTCTTATTTTCCTGATAAACTTCCATATGCAAATAATTCTATTAATTTGAAGGAAGAGGGAAAAATCCCCCATTCTTCTGGCTAAATACCAGGAACAAACTGTTTACACTTCCACAGTGTATGTCCATATTAAAATAAATTGGGTAGGCTATCTTTAAAGCACATTGTGAATTTTTGACTGTCTATAGAAATAGAGTCAAAGGAGCAGTTCAGGCTTTGCAAATTGAATAAAAATAAGTCCATAAATGGACCAAATCATTAAGAATATAATTTTGCTAGTAAACACTCCTGTTCAGAACTGCAACCAGACATCCACCAGCTTTTTCTAATACCTATATCATCCTCTTGATATCAATGGGTGAGAGAAGGTCTGTCCACTGAATGTTAAGGACACAAACTAGTAAGGACTGAACGGAACTGAAATCAGATGTGCAGAGCCCTTATGGAATGTAAGTGTGCCATGCTACTCAATCACCAGTGACTACTGAGAAGGCAGAAAAGTAAAGAAAATTTTTCTTTTTAAAAAGTGCATCATAAATTCAAGGTAAAACTTCGACAGAGCATATGCACAACTACACTGAGATGGAACTGGAGGCTGTTTAATAAAAACAGCAGAACTACAGGTAGCAGGGATCATTCATTTCAAAATGAGCATGGAATAAATTATCTACATTTTTAGCAGTCATTGTAAGACTTATAGTATACATAGAGAGACTGGGTTGCTTAGTGTTATTACAATAAAGGCATTTCACTGTAATCAAAACAAATTCTTGGAAGAATTCTGCCCATATTTTCCTCATCTAGGAGAGCTGTTCTGTTTCTTTTTGAAAAATCTAAAGCACTTACTGAATTCTATTTAAATTTCAGATGCAACTTCAAAATATTATTAAAGAAATAAAAAGAAAGGATCTTGAAATAGAACAGTATAAAAAGAGGAAAAGAAGAGTCCAGAAAGAGTAAGAAAACAATTACACACTAGACAAAGTAATTTTTATCCAGATAATGTATGCCTAAACTTATAAAAATTATTTCTGTCACACTTCTCCTCAGACTCCAAGGAGTTGCTAAAATGTGTGATATAATCCAAAGTGAAAGGAATAAATGCATACATTTGGTGCATGTTGCTCAGCAGAAAACAACTGAAATTAAAGACTGGATAAAAGTAAAAGCAAGTGAAAGAGAAACTTTAAGGAATACTCTTATAACCCAAGAAAGGTGAGTTTTAAATAAGCTGTAAATCACAGATGTAGAAATGGAAAATGTTTCTTAGAAAGAATCCTATTCTCAGTTATTACCCTGACTTTTAGTACCTGATCCAAACAAAGAAATATTGCAACACCCTTATAGAATCTGCTCCAATCCTAACAATTTACAATTAGTTTGGTCATTACTGCATGGGAAGGAAACCTTGTTGAAGTTTGTCTGCCTTCTTTCTCATTTTCCTATCCTTTCAAGTGAAAGACTGCGTTTATACTTTCTTCGTATAACTGTTCTCAAGCCTCTAGCATATGAGTATGAACAATTCTGTTGTGCTCATCCTTTGGCAAAAGGAGGTCCATACACAATTCACAATAGACTGGATGGTACCAGTAAATGAGTCACTAGCTAGTAATATGGCCAATTAATTATTAAATTAGAAGTGAGCTTCTTGTTTCAAACTCAAACTGTAGTCTATTGGATAATATTTCAGATCAAACAAAATATGGCTTCAACTTCTAGGCAAGCCTGATCAAAATGAAAGCTTACACTGACAGCTGAGGAGGAGCAGCTGGTGTGTGTGATTCTGTTTTTTCGTCAGTCATTGCTTGGTGGAGATGTCTTTTGGCCATCTTTTTGTCATCCAAATGGTGATTTTCTGCTTGGTGCTATACAGACAGTGACAGCGTCTCTGAAATCAGTAGCCAGGAAAGCAGGGAGCTGGGAAAGGGTCAATTCTGTAAGCAAAACAGCACAGCCAAAACTAAGTTTAGAAATAATTCATTTTGCCCAAAACTTTGTTTTCTGGCATCAAAAAAAAATTGCACAGCCATGCCTAAGAATGCATTCAGGATAAATTCGATCTATATATGTAGTTAATCTCCATGTTCCTTGACTTCAAAGCCATGCTGGAGCAAGATGAAAAGAAGTGGCACTTCGTGGACTGAAGGGATTCTGATGACATACGCAAGCTGATGTTTTGTGCTAAAATTTTTTAGGCCTTCCCAATAAACTACTTGTGAGAGGAAAAGGAGAAAGAAGGATAAAAATCCATCATGGTATCCCTGACTTAACTGCAAGCTACTCAATTTAGAAGACAGAGTATCAGTCCAAAATTACAGTTTTTTTCATATTCTATTAAATAATTCACTGCATTTCTCCAATACTGTCAATCTGGAAGTTGATTTACAAAAGCAGAAATGAACCAGAAAGAATCTCACAGCTTTGCACAGAGTAATTCAGCAGCTACATGACGGAACTGAGAATGAGAGGCAGGGCATTTCATTTGCTGTTCTATATTTTAATAGGAGACAGTGCTTCTTCTTTCACTACCTCTTTTGTACGTTAACAAATATCTTCCCAGTGTACACAAAGTAGCCTCAGTCCAGAAGTGACACTTAGTGCAGTTTAAGTGCAATAAGTCTGAATCCCTGTTGTTACCAAAGCAATGCTCCACATGGCAACAAGAAGCTGTCTTCTGAGCAAAGGCACCATCATCCAGTGGCTGGCAGTCTCCAGAAACAATGCCTTTTCTTCAATTTCATGCATAGTTGTGATTTATCCCTAATCTTTTGTTATGATGTTTTTCCCACATCTTTCAGATAGGAGGATTGATAACATTCCATCTCGTGTGAATGTTGGGATACAGTGTATTATAAGCTTGGAGACCTCAGAGTCACAACCGTGTTATTTAAATATCGAACTGTAAATGAGGAGAAGGACAGGCTTACTGCACATTAAGAACTTGCAGTCCACACTTCTACTCTTTAAGTTTTTTCCCAGGGCAGAAGAGCTGTGGTGCAGGCTCCAGTTACAGCATTTCACTGGGCCATAGTCCAGATCTGCTCAAGTTGGAAAGAGCTCGTACAGAGGCGATTCTCAGAAAAGGATTCTACCTCTTGTCATGCTTCCTTGAAGCAGGGTGACATAGAAGATTCTTTGTGCAATTGAGCAATTAGTTTAAGCTCTGCTTTTTTGTGCTGCAATTGCTTTCAAATTGAAAGGACTCAAAACTTTCCTACTTTTCTGTTACCTTAAAGAGAACTGCAGAAACAACACATGAAGAATAAAAATAACGTAGCAATTAAAGAGAGTCTCAAAAACGATTGCTCCAAAGTCGTGCAAGTCATGTATGAAATGAACGAAAAGAAAAAGCAACAGGTTTTGGATCTTGACAGACTTACCAATATTGTTATCCGCATTGAAGAGGAAATTGCGCAACTGCACAAAAAGTACAAAAGAGCCATTGAGGAACAAAACGAGAGGTACGTGTGTAAATGTGATGCAATGAAGTGGGTCATTCTGAAATTCATGAAGCGATACCTTTCGATTTCTGAGCAAGTCTAACCAAGAATACCAAAGACATCTTCACTGCGGTGCCTCGCAAGCAGCCTGCGACGCCTGTGCTGCTGTGTGTCTTGGATGTGTGTGCTGGTTCTCCACTGCTGGAGCCATTCGTTCTTCAGAACTTTTACAGAGCAGCACAGTACCTTGTCTGTGGAATGCCTTGAGAGCTTGTAGCCTCTGCTCTCTGTGCTTTGTACACCACTCTCATATGGAAGTGTAGAGAAAAGCTTTCCAGTCACATTACTCCACTTTCCAAATGAATGCTGTAGAGGGCAAAAAAAGCTTGTAGCAATGGTATGAAGCACCAAAGCAATCTTGGTAGATGTGTTCTCCAATTTTCAGCTTGTAATTCTGTTCTCTTTTTAAGATGCTATGGTGATATTAAAATAGCATCTGTGAAATCTTGCTATATTTCCCAGATTATTGCTATCATTTTTTAAATTTGCCTTTTATGTTCTTGAATGAAATACAAGGAATATCAACCAAAATTTTAAAAAAACCTACTTTTTCCTTTTGGGCTTATTGCAGTGGCCTTCTGCTTAGAAGTCGAGAAGAAGAAATATGTATTTTATATGAAAAAATAAATGTACAAGAGTTTTTGTGTAGAAAAGGAGATATTGAGATGCAAGCTATGGATGAAAAAATCAGTTTTCTGAAGATGAAGGTGGCTGAGAAAGAGAGACAGATTAAATTCTGGCTCAAAGCACTCCCAATGAAGAGAGCCCTGGACACAGAGTTGGTCATACTTCAGATACAGGTTGGTGGGAAAGAAGCCTCTTTTTTCTCCTTTTGTTTTCTCTAATTCTGTATTTAAAAACAATTATCATACAAAATATAAGTCAACGTGTACAAGGCTTATTAAAAGAGAAAGTTCATTAATACACCAGTCCAGGAAAGCACCGATGTGTATTTGTAACTTGAAATATGTCAGCTCCTAGCTCGTGTATAACTGACGCCGTTTGCCATGTGCATACCCTCCATCCCAGCTAGCACTCCCAGGGCCGTAAATGTCAAGATGACTAAGCTGGAGAATGGCAGTCATGGGGAAAATATGGGAACAGAGATAAAAATTGTTAAAGCTGCATTGATGGGGTAGGTGGAGGGCTGGGGAATATACTTAGCTCTTCACATTTCTAAAATAACAGCCCAATTCAACCTTGACCCTGAGCCTACTCTGGAAACTGCTGCCCACAGTGATGCCGCATACATTTCCTTCTATACAAAAACAGAGTAAGTTTTAGTTCTAGTTACAACATGACATTAAACAATTAACAAACTGCAGCGTTGGTCATTGTTCTGGGCATTCTTTCCCCGCTTTCTGAAATGGCCCATTTACTTTTGACCTTATCTCCAGATGGTAATTTTTTCCACACGTACTCTGTTAATGTCTACACAAAATTATGGTGTACCATTGCCATCTGTAATTGCATGGATGGAGCTGTGCCTCACTGTTAAATAGTGCTTGCACTGTTCTCTTATTTCTGGTCTTTTAAAGAGATTGTATGCTCAGCTAATAAAATACAGTTTTGTGCAATACCTTATGCAAATCATACCTCAAAGAGCTTCACAGTGCAATTACAGACTTAAACAATGAATTAAAAAGAACATAAAAAGAGATGACAGACTGAAGAAAATAAGAAATGCTTCCAGATAAGACTTAGAAAGAGACTGAGAGTCACAAACGCAGAAACAAAGCGCAGATGATTTCTGTGTTAAGTTTTCTGTTCTGCATTCCTGAAACTTTCTCCTTTGTGATGATGGTCTGTGTTAAGAGCTGAAGGGAGGCTGCTATTACAGGCTTTTTAAATCTTTTAGCATGAAGTAAAACAGAATGAAAATAGTGTTGTGATATGGTCTCTATGCATGTTCCCAAGTCGGGGACTTTTGAGCAAACAGTGGCAAATAATCAGTTGTCACTAGATATTGTGGTTATGGAATATTACGTGGTTCAAGCTGGCTGCCAGCCCAGCCATCTCCCTGTGCTGTCAGGTATTCTAGCATTAATACTCTTCCTTCTACTGGTAATAACCATTATGACTACTAAGAAATCGCTCTAAATCATTTGGCTTTATCACCTTGATTTAAATAAAAGTCATAGGCCTAAACTGAATTCTGGCATTGGTCAGATCATTAACTCCTGCCCTGATTACAGATCTGGCCCCATGTTGACGTCCAACAGCATCACTTGGTTACAACGTGCAAAGCCTTTTACAGCAATGCTCATTTGCACACGACCTTGACTTGATGTGGTCAGTACAGGTCTAAATCCATCCTTCCTGTGAACCCAACCTCTGATGCCAAGCTGAAGCCTAAAGAGGTGGTAACAGGCACTCTGACCTGAAGTTAGAGCCCACTGGGCAAATTATACAGATCAATGGTAAGGGCTCTGTATCAACAAAAAGAGTTAGGTGTCTTTGCCTTTGGAGGAGATCCTGACAACTCTTGGAGGTCTTTGTCCTCAGGGCACCTACCTCTCCTTGTGGACTGCACAGGAGTCCTTGAATTGTGTAGGAAAGGTATTTCAGAAGGCATTTACTTTTGAAATACAGTTTGGACTATCTGCATTAGGCAGGACAAATCCTGTCTCTGCACCTTTCACATTTTCTTTTTTCCTCTTTTCCTACACTGCCTGTCTCCTTAAATCTCGGGTATTTTCCAAACTCTGTCATCTTATTCTTTTCTGTACTGCTTTTCTTCTCTCCTGCATTTCCCAGCTTCCCCATTACCCCAGAACTGTGTCCCCTTTTCTCACTCTAGATGTGAATTGAACTTTCTGGCACTGAATGCAGAACAATCTTCCATCCACAGATACATTAGAGGTAACACTTCAAACACAGGGATTGTGTTTGAAGGAAAAGAAAACAAGCTGGAAGGAAATGTTTTTGATTTTTTTTTTTTTTTTTTTTGAGACATCATTTGAATCTGAGCCTCCCATATTCCCACCAGATCTTTTCATCATCAGTAAGTTAAATATTCTAAGATGCGTTATCTACTTCCTTAGAGATGCACCTCTGACCAGAAGGTGAATGAATGCATCATATTCAATAGACTACAGTTGCCGACCCCATGCCTGGTGGCTGTGGTACCCACTCAGAAGTGGGGAAGCACAGACTGGGGCTGCGTGGCAAGACAGGAAGAACAAAAATGTAACGTGGTCCTCCTGTGTTCCACACAAGTTGCTCGATCATCAAACCATGGATATTCCATTCTTACACTTTCCATCAAATGCCATTTAGTTTCTCAAAAGAATGACAGGTGTTGATAGATCTTATCTCAAGCAACACTAGATCGGTTCTAAGCAAAAGCACTGCCAAGATGGAGTAGGTATTTTTGTTACATTCAGTGTAAAGCAATAAAATCAGAAATATTTAGAAGCACTTCCTCTATCTGACACAATAAATACCTGACAAGATTTTAAGCTGGGCATCAAACTATACAGCTTTTACTTGTGACTGCACATCACGTTCCTGCTGACTGAAACAACCCATGAGGACTAATCTACCTTCAACAGTGAGAAATACCTGGCACTAATCGTTAATTAGTCCAACAAACAGACCTGCTGAGCTCACAGTGCTCCAGGTGGCACTTTCATGCCTCTGAGCTAAACTAATGCACAGGGACTGATAATTGCACATTTGGCATCAGTTTATCCAAGTTTTAATACAGCCTCTGAAAATCTATGGACCACAGCATCAGTTGTAGAAAACCAGGGCTAGCAGAGAGAAGAGCTTCGTGGCAGTCCTGCTTGTGCCCCAAGTGGGGCTGCCTGCCATTCATGAGGGCACAGCAGCTCTTTCCTGGTGGAAGCTCCTATTCCCCAGGCAAGCTGCCCCAGCACTTCCATAACACAGGAACAATTTTCTTAACCTTTAGCTGAGCCGCTCTTGCTGCAGTGTAGGCCTTTAGATTTCTTTTCCATCCACCAGGGACACAACAAACAGATCATTCTCTTCCTCCCTGAGGCAACGTTTCACGTTCCTGGAATAAAGTCAGCCACATTCGTCTCCCATGCTTTTGTTGGGCTGCACAGCCCCACTCCTTTGCATCAGCCCTTAGAGCTAGCGCTGCTTCAATCCTTCTTTTCTACTTTCCTTTCTTTCTGCCTTCAAGTGCAGCACCTAATGGCAGTGGCTGAGAGCAAAAGGATTCATTCAGGCAGGTGGCATTTCTGCTTACACATCCTTCTATGTTGGTAGTATGTTGGTAGTCCTTCTTGCAACAGCATGATGTACTGATTCACATTTGCTTTGTGAGTACATTTCCTGATGTAGTCCTTACCTTACATTTTCATCCAGAACCTGTTTCCTTATCTTGTTTATGATGAGACCATATGAAACAATACTGAACTTCTGTAAAGATCAAACTGTATGATACCTACCATTTCTCATCCATGCTCAGGTTAAATAATAGGAGATCGAACTGTTTGGCACAGCTACGTTAGCTATTATTCATAGTCTTTTATTTTCCAGCTATTTACAAAGAAAGCTTCATGATTTTTTTCCATATTTATTATTCAGAAAGTGATTTATTAATTATATCTCTATATATTACATCCATAAATATTAATAACATCTATACTCAGCAGCTCCATTTCCCCCCACTTTAAAAACCGGATGTGATATTTGCTCTTTTCTAGTGCAAGAGATACCCCCCCTACATCCCCTGAAGTTTACAGAATCAACACGAGCCCTGCCCTCTCCGAGCAGCCCTCTATCTGCTCCGTGTTCCTTCTCATCTTTTCATTCTTCAGCAGTTCTTGCTATCTACAGTCAAGCACAGCAAAGCCATTCTTGTAGGGCCTTTTCCCATTCCCTGTATCAAACACACTCCAAGAAAGGTCTTTTCTGGTTTTAAGACTTACCTATCCTTACATTGTTTAAGCACACACATGATGTCACGGTTATCTCCAAATGTGCTTTGCTTTCCATATTTTTGGTTTAGCTTCGATTTAATTCCCATCATCTGTAAAAGTAAGCCAAGCATTTATCAGGAAACCTGGATTTTTTTTTCTTGGTTCAGACAGGGTTTGTTCTGCATCAGTCCTTCTCTGAAGTAACAACTCAAACCTGTATAACACAGGGAGCTGTGCTAATCCCACAGAGGTACCACCACCTCCAGCAATGTGCCTGCAGCTGTGCTGCTGCTGGAGCCCTTTGGCCCCAGATCTCTGGCACCAGCACTGCATCCTGTTGCACCCCTGTTCTTGCATTCTTCCGCTTGTAGTTCTCAGATACTGCTAGGTTCCATTTTCAGCTGTTTAAAATTAAAATAAACCTTTAAGTACGCCTGAAATGAGTTGCATGCAGAAGGGCGTGCATTTTATATCAAACCACGATTTGACAAGGAAGCTGCTCAGCACAGATATTGAGGGCTTTTACTGTGTCTGTTCTTAGACAAAGTGTAAAGGAAAGATTTGCATGAACCTTTTTCCCAGAAAAGAGCTGCTTAGAGCGAGTACAGTGCTGACATTTCATTATCACCTGCAAATAATTGTCAGTTTTCCCATTTGCAGTTGAGCATGAATTGTTCTCTTCCAGTGAATAAACCCTGTCCCTATAGCAATGGCAAAACAATCACTTTGTATTTGTGGTGACCCTTCCCAGAGCTGTGAGCATCATTTCCTCGACAATGTCACCACCCCTAGCTGCAAGTTAGCACTAACAGGGAAGTCACCATGCTTGTGTTCCAACAAATGCAGAGGGCGTGACGGTGTGCTGACAGATAGCCAGGTGCACATCAGGCACACAGCCATTGTGGCCTGCCCCGTGAGTCCAGACATGAGGAAATGTTCCCAGTCACTCCTTCAGCAAGCAACTGAGAGGACATGGAGTTCCATCTGTGTACTCTGGGAATCATAGAATGGCCTGGGTTGAAAAGGACCATAAGGATCATCTAGTTTCAACCCTCCTGCTATGTGCAGGGTTGCCAACCACCAGAGCAGGCTGCCCAGAGCTGCATCCAGCCTGGGTACAAAACACATTCAGCGTTTCATTGCCAGCAGTGACTTGCCTGGGCTCACCTCACAACTACCCTTGCGGATGCAGACACTGCACTAGGCCGGGCAGCTGAACCCCATCCAGCCTGGTCCTCAGGACTCGCCCTCCTCCATGAGGGTTCCCCTCTCCTCTGCCCAGAGCTGCAGCCATCTGCAGCACAGATAGGCCCTGCCACTCACTGACAGGAGTGATGGAGGGTGGCCCTCATCCACACCCTTGTGTTGGCCCAAGGGATGTGGGTGCATGGCCAATGCTGACCATCTACCCCCAGGACTGCTGCTTTTTCCCTAACTTTCAGAAGGTAAAAAATATCTTCCAGTCAAGGCACTTTTCAGGATACCTGGTGGTTCAGAGAAAAACCCTGGTTGACATGACTGCTGTACTGATATACAGGTTGTTCTGTTGCACACGTAGTCAAGAGAACAAGAGCTCAAGGAATCGAGAGGAAATTGTATTTATGTCTTAGAAAGAAGACCTTCATAGAAACACGGAATGGTTTGGGTTGGAAAGGACCTCAAAGCCCGCCAGCCCCAACCCCTACCGCAGCTGGTTGCCCCACCAATTCAGGCTGCACTGGGCCCCATGCAACCCAGCACCTCCAGGGATGGGGCACCCAGCACTTCTCTGGGCAGCGCCTCACCACCCTCTGAGTAAATAATTTCTTCCCATCATCTAAACTAAATTTCCCCTCTTTTCTTTTAAAACCACTCCCCTGAAAGAACCCTTCTGTGGCACAAGCTCTCACATTCACTACCAATAGGACAAGACAATGCCATTTCTGACAGTGTAGGGAAATGTTCTCAGTGTTGGACCAGCACAGACTGACACAGGCCTGTGCTGCCAGAGCACCTCAAGCACTCCCAACAAGGCTGCAGTCCTGCTTCTGAGCTCAGGCAATACTGCATGGCCATGAGCTGTGCACCTGAGCACTCTGATTGCTGAGGCACAGCACACCAGGCACACCAAGACCTTCCCTCACTGCAATAACAAGGCTTTTTGCTTCTAGTCAGAAAAGTAACCCTCGCGTGTTTTTGTTTGTCAGTATTCCCAGTGCAAGGACAGGATTAAAGAGATGGAGGAAATTTTTGTTGACCCCATGAATGAGAGCAGAAAGCGAGACCTGGGAGGGAAGGACCCGTCTCCACCTGAACTGCAGAAGAAGATTGAACAGGTAGCGCCAGGTCTCACTGCACAGCCCCTAACACTGCAGGTTGAGTTCTTTTAGAAAAAGCAAAGGGTGTGCAAAATAATAAACCATTAATGCATGTGAACCAAAGGCAGGCCCACCATCCTCTCAACATAACACCTGTGCACGTGACATAGGGTTAAACCAGCATTCTCCACAGTGATTGGCTTTTCTGCTTTGTCCCCACTCCAAACAGAGACCCAGAAGAGATTGGTACCCAAAGGCTCCCAGGCCAGCTGCACCCCTGTGGTGCTTTCCCCCTGGGGCTGCATAGGAAAACATTAAGTCCAATACAAAAGCCAATTTCAGGGCACCTCCTGTATTGCACAAAGTCAGAAAGGGAAAGGAACAGAAGGAGCAGCCATGATGTTTTTAGTTATTGTCTATCTTACTTACAGGGGAAAAGAAAAAATAAAACACACCTGCTCTATTCTGTGCTTCAGGTGGGTCTGACAATCCCAATGCACTATCCCCTCTGCTCTGCAGGCACAGGTACCTGCAAGCACAGTGCAGTTCTCACCCACATCCTCCTACTGAAGGGCTGACTGCAGTGATTCAACATGAACACTTCCTGGGGCCCCTTGCATTGCTCCAACCTTTTGCTTAACTTCCTCGTGTCCCTTGGCAGGGGAGGGATCCCAACAGGGCTGGGTGGGCACAGGGTCATAGCCCACCTGTACCAACCTCACCAACTTTAGAAAACTGGATTTTGTGAATGCATAACATAGATTTAATGTTCCCATTCAACCTCTCCTTATGCTTTAAAGTCCTTTCAGTTGCACAGTACTTTCTTTGTATTTGGTGCTCACTTTTAACAGCAAGGTGTCAGGGGAAGATTACTGCAAGCAAGAGCTGAAACTTTTAATGCCTGTAACTCAACCAAAAATTTAAAAACAAAACAAAACAAAACAAATCACTAGTAAAAAAAATCATGGTTTTCACTAAAATCATGGCAAAGCAGTAGTAATGCTGATGTAATTTGGGAAAACTGTTGGTGAAAAATATTGCTGCTTAAGTACATTAATTCCGAAGGTGTCTCCAAGCAGCCACAGGAACACCTTCCGTTTTGCTTTCCCCCAGCATTTACCTGTGCTGTGCATGTTCCTCCCACTGCAGCTGGAGGTGGAGCTGGTACAGAAGGAGGAGAAGCTGCTGGAGACAGACATGATCTACGAACACATTGCCCGGCTCACGGACAAGATCCGTGCCACAGCAGAGAATGGGAAGCAGGGCACGCTGCTGTTAGCAACAAGGGTAAGGAGGGCACTCTGCTCACTGGCCCCTAGGAAACAAAATTCTATCTGGGCAGCAGGTGAGATGACTTGCTTGCAAATTACTGAACTAGCAGGTGGAATTAGTGACAGGCAGGTTGTACATTAGTCTGAAGAAATGACAGACATTTAGTAATAACAGTAATAAAGGCAAAGCAAGAGCATTAGGAATGGACTGAATGGACTCTCTTTTTGAAAGAAAATTGCAGCATCAATTGATCTTTCACCAAAATGTGCACTAAGTTATTTCTCAGATCAAGTGCTTCCAGACACGAGATACAAAGCAGGAAGGGAAGCTATGCAGTTGGCATATACTTTCATAAAGCAAGCTAATCCAGATATTAAACAAAAACTGCAAAAAATGGAAGGACAGGAGGCCTGATCCTTAAGTAAATTACTTGAGATTGCTTAGGAAGTGTATAACACAGTAGAAGCCAAAAAAAAAAAAAAAAAAAGAAATCTTCCCACCTCCTTGATGAAAAAGCTCCAAATAGCTCCAAACCCAGTGAGAGAGAAAATCAAACAAACAACAGTGATGTAATTAACGTACAACAAGGCCAGGGCTGATGTTCTTTTCTTTGTTATTATCTCTGGCACTCAGGCTTAAAATCTCCAGAGGAAACCTTTCATTTTCTACAGAAAGAAATAACATGGCTGCCATTTGCCTTTGTGAAATTACAGCCATTGGCCAACAAATTACTGTACAAATGGCAGTGTGCCAGAAGTTTCATGCTCTGGCTCTACCAATCCCCTATGTTACTTTAAAAACAGCATTTCAGCTCTTTTATGCTTTTTTTTACATTTTCAACGTCTCTGCAGTCAGAATCACAGATTCCCACTCTGTTCCCTTTCTGTCCATCCCCCTGCTAAGAATAATTCAGGTTTCTGATTCCAGATAAATGAACTACAGAAGAAGATAAAAGACAGGACCCGGAAGATGATGGCTCTTGTGGCAGAGTTATCCATGAAGCAAGCACTTGCCATTAAACTCCAGCAGGAAATGAGAGACAGAGAAGAGTTTTTGATGATTGTTTCATCAAGGATAGATCAAGGCCTTCCTCCTCCTAAAGAGACAGAGATTGAATGGTTGAAGGTTTTACGCAATGAGAAGATGCACAAAGAAGCAGCAGAGGCCAGAGCTAGAGTAAGTTTTTGCTCTGTGTTATGCTTTGGCTCCTCCTTTTTTCCTGCTCTAGCTTGTCCTTCTGAAAGAGCAGCACTAACTCAATGCACAGCTGCTCACTGACAACCATGGGCTCCAGGAGCTGGTGGAGATGATGGGACAGACAGAGGCCACTACAAAACCAGCACACTGTGGATTTCTGGAATTACAAACTGCAGTATGGCACACTGCTCAGATAGAGCAGGTCATAAAGCCTTAAGCAGAGGATATGTTACACTCAAATTACTTTAATAATCAAAAGTAGATCTTGCTTTATGTGACAGTGTTTTGAGGTAACTGATAAGATAGCCAAATACAACTGAGATTCAATAATTGAGAGAACACCTGCAGGTAGGAACTGGCTTTGCTATATGATCCCTTCTCCAAAGAAATCTGAAATGAACACAAAGCTGGGAGAGAAACACATAGTAGTTTAATTTATTATTATATTATATATAATATATATATATATATAATATATTATATATATAATATAAATAATTAATAAATTAATAAATTATTTATTTAATAATAAATATAATAATAATATAAATAATAATATTAACAATATTATTTATTAATAAAATAAATAATATTAAATAATATATATAATATATATATATATATATTAGTTTACATTTAAAGAGCCTGAAGGCATGAAGAACTGTTGCAGGTAACCTGGTTTAGAATAAGAAACCTCTGTCACTCACTCTTTTCATATTATGACCCAGTTTCCCTTCAGTACAGTGATAGTATTCAAGAACAGCTGCTGTCAGCATAAATGCAAACTGAGCTTTGAAGCATCTTAACTATTATCTTGTTCCTGAGATGGTCTGTGCACACTTATTGCAGTTACTGGAAGTTCATCTAATTTTCTTTCTCAACAACAGCAATATGGCCCAAACTACACAGTATTTAAAAGGACAAACTCATACCTACGTGGTCAATAAATCATGCTTTCCTTTCAATGAACACTTAAATACCCATCTGTGTTTTCTTGTTTAGACTCATTTTATTTGCTCATTGGGCATCTTCTACTTTGGCTCAGAAGAATACTGACTGCAGCCTTAAAACAAGTAGGCATGATGTGCTCACAGTGCATTTCTTTTACAGCAGGCTGCAGAAGAGGAACAAGCTGCAGTGCCCGGCCATGTCCTCACAACAGCTGAACCACGGCCAACTGCTTATGTCCCAGATGATGCATACAGCCTGCCAGTGCCACGGCCCTATGGCGCTTTGGCTCCTTTCAAGCCAAGCGAACCCGGTTCAAATATGAGACATTTCAGAAAACCAATTATAAAGCCAATTGAAATCTGAGAAGACAACACAAGGAGGAAGAGAAGCCCTTACCAGTTGCTGAGTATCACAAGTCAATAGCATTCAGGCTACATGAAATGCCCATTAGAGTATAGCCAACTTCCACACAGTAAACAAAGTAGTACTTAATGCCAGAAGCACAGCTAAATACTCAGTGATACAAGTTCCTTCCTTCTGACTACGTGGAGCCTGTTATGCCAAATGCACTGCAGTATTTTAAAATGAGTAATTATCATACCACACTTTTGTTTTTTCAGGTCAAGTTTTATCGCATCTATTTTACAGCACATTTCATTAAAAAGAATAAGGTAGAAGATCTTCTCTGGTTATCAATAGCACACGAATGAAGTCTCCACATATTACACAAATACACCACCACAGCTTTCCACAGTCCAAGACTGAAAAAAATTATTCAACTGACAAAAATTTATGTCACTGTTCAAAATAGGAAAAAGTGCACGCCAAAAACTAAACCCACTTCAATTATTCATAAATAATAGTTGAAAATGAGGAGAAAACAACCTCCAGCAGTTCTTCCTGAAGCTGAGTTTTGAACCATAATACTAAAAGTTAGAAGGAAAAAATTCAGTAAAACTCATTCCATGCTGCTGTGAAGATACATTTCCAAAGAATTTTCTTCTTGTCCTGCATTGCATTCAATATATTATAAGCATCTTAAAAAAAAAAAAACATACATAAAATCCCTCTCCCATATAATTTAAGGAGACTACATTTTGTGCTAATTACATAGCTCAATATATTAGAATCCCACTCCAAAGGCAGAAGTACCGTAAGACAATACATGACCACCACAAGGAATGAGTATCATTATTGATGATTATATACAAAGACTGATGCCTCATTTGTTATCCTTACCTATTTTATATCATCACATCAAGAAATGCCTTTATTAGTCTAAGTGAGTAAACAGTGGCCAATTTTTTGTTACTGTACAGCTGGACTACCCTTTCCAGCACTGTCTGTCTCATTAAAACTGTTGAAAGAATACCTTTTCACAGCATGTTTTGGTACCCACTAGTTCCACTGATTTGACCACTTCAGACCTGAAACCCCTGATGTGTTGGAAACCCAGGTCTGCATCAGATGCATTTCTCTGCAATTTACCTAGAGGTCAGTAATTTCAGCCTTAGTGCACTGGACAATTGCTACTTTGAGTAGCTGATGTCAGTAATGGTGGCCTACTCAAAACTGCAGATTAATTAGCAAACATGACATTTAAGTTTAAAAAAAAAAATCACAGTTGGCTGCACACTTGTATGTGAATGATTTTCAGTACCACACGCAGTTTGAGTGATTTTGAGTATTTACATGCAGTTGAAGAAAGCCATTTCAGGAATATCTGAGGCCCAAGAGCATCATCGTGTGTTTCAGCGCTGCTTCCTCCACAAACCTGACATCAATATGATCTTGTTTTTCATACGAATGCACACCTAGAAAAACACCATTAGAAAATCAGTATTTGCAAATCTAAGTGCTGTTGTACAGTAAGTCCTGCAGTTTACTAAACATCCTGACCCACAATACCAAAAGGTAAGGCGTTAGATGGAACTGTGTTTTCATCTAAATAAAATACCTACAGCTTTCAGTGCAGTTGTCTGATGCTCACCCATGGCATACGCTTTCCTGTTAGTGGGATATCAGTAAATTATGCCCCATGTGGAAGAAAGCTAGACTATCTCTGGAGGCTGCTAGGAATTTCCATACTGATTTTACCTTGGAGAGCGAAATAAAATTTAAGCATAGCAGCTGTTTGTGCTAGTATGTTCTTATATGCATCAGTATGGTTTAACTTCTTCCTCCTCCAAATAGGCTGATATCCATATATGAGAATATTGTATTAACACTCAGGTCCCTATCACACCTTTACTTCATTTATTAGTAAAAGTATAGCCAACTGCACTAAGCAGTGTAATGCTTCCTTAGGGCATTTTGCTTTTTCAGTGGAATTCAAAATCTTTGGATGCATCTGTTTCACTGCATGAAGCAAGTACTGTGACTAACGTGAATTTCATTTCACAAAAAGGAACAGCTTAGAAATGCACCCCCCATTGGAGCATTCTTCTCTGAAGTGGAAGATCTGATTTGATCTACCTCTACTTACTGGACATAAGGCAATGCTTTAGCTACCATGCTGTAAAAGTAATGTACAAGCCCTTCTCCCCATTTAAACACTGAATAACAGCTATCACCACTCTGTATGCCAGTTTGGCAACTGCATTCAACACAGAGAGGATTCTGAATGAGAAAATACACAGTCAGGAAGCACTCTGATTCCTGTCAACAACTAAACCTACATGTTCAGACATCACTAGAGTTTTTATAGCAGTGTGAGCATTAAAGGGTAGCAATTACCAATCTTCCGAAGTACAGAATTAAAGTCACCTTGATTCTCTATCTCTGCCAGCACATTAGTCAGGTAGTTAAGAGGCAAAAATTCTACAGGGACTGGGTATCTCTCAGGGACAGGCCTGCTACACTGTAAATGAGAACAGTTCAGATTAGTTTGCACGCTACCAAGTTTCAGTGTTACCTTCAGTGCCTTATGGCAGACAGCAAGGTCAGGAATCTGAATGCCTTACCTGCCTGGTCCCCAGCTTTTCAAGCAAAAGTTTCACATACTTCCGTGCAAGGAAATTAGCATTTGTTGGATGATCCCAGAACTGACGGGCCTTTAGACCAAGAGCCTAGTAAGTAAAATCCCCAAAAGATCAGTAACAAAACAGAACAGTGGAAATACAGTGGGAAAAAATAGGAGGGGAGAAAAAAAAAATGAAATCTAGGCTTTAACACAGACTACTTTGCCAGTACTAAGAGATTATCATAAACCCCCAGAACATGGGGAATGATCAAATCCTTGCTACTCAGCGCCCACTGAGCTACTCACTAAGTTTCAATCAATCAATCAGTATTAAATCTGTCCCACTTTGCATGTGTACTGAAATATCAACTGGGGCATAAAATGACTATTTTTTACTGCGACTGTGGTTCAGAATCATTCTTCTCAGAGAGAAGAGCAATAATGCCTAACTTATCAGTGTTGTGATCAGAACAGGCTCAGTGGCAGAAAGCTTACAAAAACAGAATGCCAACAAGGAAAGATACTGGGAACAGAATTTATATCCCATTACTTAGGGCACTGTCTGGGAAATGGCAAAATTGATTCACATTCCTGAAGGCAAGAAATCCAAACCGAATTGTCCCAAAGCTTCCAATCCTAATCAGTAAGAAAGCAAACATGAACACATTGTGAAATTAGCTTTTCCTGCTATTCTCCCAGTCTAAATTCTTTTTCCTCTCACTTTCAATTGTAATGAAATACAGACTATTGAAAGAGTTCATGTAAGAAACGCTGAAGGGTTTTCAGCGTTGCTGAAATACTTGCTTCTGAAGTCATCTAGTGAATGTAACCTGAACTCAAAATAGTCCAAGTCACCCCAAAGTGTCCTTTTAAGCAAACAAACTATTCTCTGCATTTTTTCCCAAAGCTGTAAATAGACACAATAAGGCACTGAGCCGACTGTGTGTAACTAGCAGTGCATTTCCCCTGAAGCACAAGTCAGAGCACTTGGAATGGTGTTCCCCACCCACCAGGCCTGGGGCTGACAGCTCAGAGTCCCCACAATGACCTCAACTCACCAACCCCTGCCCAAAACAAGATACAGAGGACAAAGAACACTTTGTAAAGCTCTCCTTCCCTACCCCTTCTCAAAACTACTGCCAAATAAAGAAGCCCTTGTTAGAGGAAAACTTTAGCAGCACTTCTGGCCATTTGAACTACACATAACAGTCCATAATGAACAACAATAAGCAATTTATGGCCAGAAAAGCCTGTTCTACAGCAAGGCACTCCCACAGGGGGATCCCTGATTTTCTTTCACTCACTCACAGATGTTGTGCTTCCTCTGTAGTATTGAAAAAGGAAAAGAAAGAAGCAATCTCCCATTGTTGTAACTTTCAAAGGAGCATCAAGAGCATGTGCCCAAACACCTTACCAAGGGGTGAGGCCAAGATTTTGTAATTCAATCACCACGGATCTCTGATTTGATCAGAATTTACACTTTCTACTGTACCAGCTTTTGAAAGCATTTGGTAAAATGAACAAACAATCCACAAGAAGGTTACAAATGAGAAAGACATTTGTGGATACTAAAAATACAAACAAAAATATTTAGAAATTCTCTCTAAACCCTTATTACTATTTTATGTGTGAGTACTCAGAACACCATCAGTCTTGTCTGTTTGATTGCTGCAAGATAGTGGACACACTGAAAACTATGGACAAACCTAAAATTTAAGTTACCAAGGTACCCTACAGGTTATGAACAGCAGATGGAGAAACTTTGGAGGTGCAGTCTGTTTCTGTGTCCTCTGTGAGTCACAGCTAAGTCTTCTGTTGACTGGATCCTATGCACAGGGAGGAATTTCATACCCACTTCCAAATTCCAAGAATAACAACCAAAGTCACCTCAGGAAGCCTTGTCACAATACTGAATTTCAGCTTTTCATTCTTCTCATTGTCATCCAGATCTGCAAGAGAAAGGTGAACAAAACCTCAAACTCTTTAGTAGCAAACACATAACTTCCAAATTCTGCTGAAGACATACAAAAAAATACTATTTCTGTGACAAAAATTTTTATTTCACATAAGGGTTAGTAGGAGTGTTACTTTTACAGTTTATACGAATATTCTTCTAGACATCTGCATACAGCTTCACTATTTTAAGTAATGATTTGTACAATAATTCAAATTATATTTATCAAAATCAGGCATAGATTAATATAAACATTGTGTCCATTGTGATTCTAACTGCACCTACAACTGCTACTTTGTACCACTCCCCATTTTGTTCCAGTGCTTCATGCCCCAATTATTCCTATTGTATGCTAGTTTGCTTCTAAGCCTCCTTTGTGGAAACACACTGCTTAGCTCCTGCTGAGGGGAAAGTCACAAACAGCTGCTCCTGATGATACACAACTGGTTTTAACCCCTGCCTTTAGTTAACATATTGATACATTTAGAATAGATTCATGTTTAGAGTACACTAAACTTGCAATTTACTAAATTTACACTGGGATGCTAAGTCAGGTTATCCTTTGTTTGCTTATTTTGCTATTTAACTTCCTAATATAGGGCTTCTAGTTATAAATGACCACAGAAATCCTCCAATATTTCTTTGTTTACTACAGTAAGGGTCAATCATAGAGTATGACTCTTATTTTTCTCCTTTCAGCCAAGCAACACAGACAGTTACACTCCTCACTGTAACAGCACTCATAAAGAAGAAGCTGAGTCTCCTGATCAGGATATATGGTGGCTGTATCTGAATGGCTGAAAGGACATCACACCCAACAAGTTGTCTGTTAAGCAAATGAAACATAACAAGTATGTTCACAGTACCTTTCAGCAGCTTCCTGACACAGGTTTCTGTCAAACGTAGAACCCCATTATCAATATAGTGCAGGAGAGTATGAAGGGGAAGACATCGAACACCAAGCCCCAAATGTAGAGTATGAAAACCTATGAAGGAAAGACAAATTTGTTTGGGAAAAGGAAATATCTTTCAAAGTTTGTAGCATTGACTAGCATTACTGTAGCTAAAGCCAACGGTATCCTCAACTTCTAAGCATTTCAAGTTAGTAAGGAAATGAGTTTATCTTTAAGTCTTGTCAAGCACAACCCTATCAGAAAGAGGAAAGCTAAGGACCCGAAAACAATCATTAAACTTCTCCAAGCTTATTGTTGGCTTACATCCGAGTTGTGTCATTAATTTGCCTCCCTCTTTCTTCCCAATTTATCAAAGCTGAGGCCTCGCCACACGCAGTATATAGCTGCTACCCACACATTCCCACAGACCATGTTAAGACTTCAGTTTCTCACTGAGCATCAGCCAGATGGTCTTGAACCACAAGACACCATCACATAGCAGCATTTGCCCCTCACACAGTGTAAGTTCGAGGCACGGCCTCATACCAAAACCAGATTGAAGCCAAATCCAAAAACACTACCTAGAAAGAGATTCAAAGAGAATCAGAAAGCAAAAGCTATTTTTTTCTAATAAAATTCAGAACACTCTTCTGTTTCTGTCATTCTGTAGTTACAGGCAGGCCAGGCCTTGGTCCGACAGCTTAACAGCAGGACAGCAAGCTCAATGTTTCTGTAAGAGCATTCTTAAAAGGATTAGAATCCAGTCCAAATCTACAGCTTGGCTGTACATTCCCTGTCTGTATTGGCAAATTCAGACACAGAAAACCTAAGCACTCAATGTTAAAAAGCCTTGTCCTAACAAAAATAACCAAGTGCTTTGAAAAGACTGTAAGCAATTACAGATCATCTCCTTCAGAAAGACCAGGGGCAATTCGTTCAGGATAAAACTGAAAAACATTTGCAGAGCAACAGCATGAGAAAAAACACTCTGGTTTTGCTCCAGGACAGGATTTTCCCCTCTTGCCCTTGACATTTGAATCTAGCTGTCTTATAAAATCTAAGGGAAAGTCATTTAAATCTTAGTTGTGAGCTATGGCTGTACCCACATTCTCCACTGGAAACTGAAAACAGCTAACTAAACCTCTGATTTGTTGTCTCTATTTGTATCAAATATTCAGTTACGCTTCACTTCACTTGCACACATTTATGGAGGACCTTTCCCTCCACAAATGTCTTGAAGAGATTTAAATACTGCCAGAGCTAACCTGACATACATGCTACAACTTGTGTTCTCCTGGGAGGAATTGATATG